TTATCAGGCCTATCTGTCATCAGGGGCACTTAGTCAGCATGGTCAGGTCTAGCTGTTCACAGTGAAACTTTATCAGGTCTAGTTAGCTGTCAAATTCCTTCAGCAGGTCATTAGGTATTACAGGATTTCACTTTTTGGCTAAGGTCGTGGAGTTGGATTTACGAATCAAGCCATGGCGTCATGAAGGACCTTTTGCACGGACGACCAGATTTGCGGGGATCAGAGCTCGACCATGCCCAAAAATCTATTTATCTCTCTCATTCTTCAAAGTATCATTGGTGTAGTGTCATATGAAACCATTATGAAAATCTTTAGTTGAATTATTTATGGCCAAAATAACCAATTCATTTGTGTATTTCTGCTTGACGTCCTTTGAGGATATATATACATACCAATAAGGCCTAACAAGACGGCTCACATTACTTCCAAGTTGACAATAACAAGCATGAGTCATTTCTGCTTGCAACACAGGTAGAGTACTACATCCTGGTTGAGATGGGGGTCAACATGTGGGGGTTAGAGACAGTCGAGGCTCTACATGGGGTGGGGTGCGAGACAATAGACATGTTAGAGACAATCAGCATCAAGTCTTCATAATTCTTGGTATGAATGGGCGCTGCCATTCGACCAGCGTATCAGATTTTTGTTTCTTGAGAATAAGGTAATCAGCCTGTTCCGAATCTAAATGATAAAGGATTCCGAGGTTGTTTTTGTGTTCCATGGCATCAACAAGGGCTGGGACAATACACCAACTGTGCGATCTGATACGTATCATGATACCTTGTTCACGATCTGATACGTATCACGATACCTTGTTCACGATCTGATACGTATCACGATACTTATATGTGCTCTTATCTGTGTTGAATAAGCCATCTTTTTCACAGACAGAATAGGGGGCACGGGTGGCCAAGTCGTCTAAGGCGCCACGATTCGCTGTGCAGATTTGCATCCCTTGGGCACGCCAGAAACCTATGATTGTGGGTTCGAATCCCGGTTTGCCCCGATTATGTTTCTAGGTTTGTCAGCACCATACCCATGCTCGTGGGTTTCACCGAAGTGGTAAACGTCTTAGACCTGCATCACTTCGGGCTTTCCTCCCACATTAAGCTGACACGGTGTGATATAACTGGAATAATGTTAAAAGCGGCGTTAAACCCAACTCACTCACAGACAGAATAGTATATATATACCTGGCACACTGATGATTTACAGTTGGCAGTGTCAAGTATGGCACAATGGACTAAAACATTTACTTTCTCTCTACTAATTTTCACTACTAATTAGTGTTTGGTGTACCAGCCAAGCCGTAAACATTTAAGGTATGAACCAATATTTTTTACTTTGTGTGCGACTGTGATTGATACTTCTATCTCGAAGTAAAATATCGCGATCCACTGATGCATCGGTGTATCGAGCCAGCATCAGCACTCAAAAGCGAGTACCATCAAAGGGATATTTGTGTTCTGTTATGTGTTTCTTGTGCTTTCTGAATCAAGGTGGTAAAAATGAAATCAAATTCTTTAGAAAGCTGACATCTGATTGGCTTACGAAGTCATTCTCAGCGGTTGAAACTAACAGTTTCAGTCCACTAGTCCTTATAATGATAACATATAGCAAAACGCTTTAAAAGGGCAAATTTCTACTAGTCCTTGTGATGCCTTAACAATTGGTCAGCTTGGCAAGGACTATAGTCTGGAAGGTGATTTAAGGTATCGACGTTTACTACAATATCTGAAAAACTATCGGACCTACTACAGTCAAAGTTAGTATGAGATTATTAAACAGTCATACATAACTGGATATTACATTTAAAGACAATCGGTACATGAATAAAAAATCTGTCTATTTAGCTTTCACTATGTTTCATCAACAACCAGACCTGTTCGTCACGGGTGGAACGAGCATTCATTGAAACAGCCATCTGCATAATGCTACCCCTGCGTCACAGGGCCATATGACACAGTTGAACCAATCAACTCAACTCGAAAGGGTACACGGGAATCATGCACCCACGAATACGGTGTTAGCGTTGGGCGTCTCAACGTGGTTGTTGATGAAATATAGTGATAGCTAAATAGACAGATATTTTATTCATGCACCGATTGTCTTTAAATGTAATATCCAGTTATGTATGACTGTTTAATAATCTCATTCCAACTTTGACTGGAGTAGATCCGATAGCTTTTCAGATATTGTAGTAAACGTTGGTACCTTAAATTACCTTCCAGACTATACAGGACTAGTGCCAATTTCTACCGCTGCATACTTCCTTCATTTTGATTGGTGTCAAAGTTCTCTCACTTCACTTGACATGACCTGCCATGGAAGTTTCGTGAAATCTTCACACACAGAGATATCAAGTGGAGTATAGGGGGGCACAGGTGGCCCAGTCGTCTAAGGTGCCGCGATTCGCTGTGCAGAGTTGCGTCCCTTGGGCACACCAGAAACCTATGATTGTGGGTTCGAATCCCGGTTCGCCCCGATTATGTTTCTAGGTTTGTCAGCACCATACCCGTGCTCGTGGGTTTCACCAAAGTGATAAACGTCAGAGACCTGCATCACTTCGGGCTTTCCTCCCACATTAAGCTGACACGCCGCGATATAACTGGAATACTGTTAAAAGCGGCGTTAAACCCAACTCACTCACTCACTCAAATTGAGTATAAAAAAATTCCAATTATACTGAGATCAGTGGTGGTAGTCAATAAGTGTTTGAGACACTTCATGTTTTCGACTTTTTCAGCCCATGTTGTAATCATGTGATGATTCTTTGAAGGTCCGACTCCATACTGACTCTTGCTATTAGCTATATATATCTACTTGTTAAATTAGCGACAGGCATTCTTGCATGGAAATGTTTGTGTATTTCAAAGACTTGGGGGCGCTTAGGTCCCAGCATGCTCCAGTGAACACATCAGCCCTGCAGGTTTTATCAGCCAATTATGTATTAACAATGAGGGAAATGTCACTCTCAGGAGTGCTTGTCATTTAACACGTATCATGCAGGTACGCCTGATCAGTCAGCTGGAAAGGGAATGATGTATTGTTTGTGTTATGGAGAGGTTCTCAAGATTTGCTGTGTTGGTCATTTGGGAGAATTACAGTCACTATGACATGGCTTGTGATAGGTTGCGGGACATTGTCCTCATTGCGTGTATACCATTGACTGGCATGTATCATGATGTATACCATGGCCACCAAGTACTAGATTCAGCAGAGTGGGGAGCACCTTTAACATGACCACCAAGTACTAGATTTATCAGAGTGGGGACCACCTTTAACATGTCCACCAAGTACTAGATTCAGCAGAGCGGAGACCACCTTTAACATGTCCACCAAGTACTAGATTCAGCAGAGTGGACCACCTTTAACAATACCACCAAGTACTAGATTCAGCAGAGTGGAGAACACCTTTAACATGTCCACCTAGTACTAGATTTAGCAGAGTGGAGAACACCTTTAACATGTCCACCAAGTACTAGATTCAGCAGAGTGGGGACCACCTTTAACATGGCCACCAAGTACTAGATTCAGCAGAGTGGGGACCACCTTTAACATGTCCACCAAGTACTAGATTCAGCAAAGTGGAGAACACCTTTAACATGTCCACCAAGTACTAGATTCAGCAGAGTGGGGACCACTTTTAACATGTCCACCAAGTACTAGATTCAGCAGAGTGGGGACCACCTTTAACATGTCCACCAAGTACTAGATTCAGCAGAGTGGGGACCACCTTTAACATGTCCACCAAGTACTAGATTCAGCAGAGTGGGGACCACCTTTAACATGTCCACCAAGTACTAGATTCAGTAGGCTGCCCTTGATGGGTATTCTGCGGGTTAGGACATATGTTCCTTGCTTGTCGCAAGAGGGTATTAAAATCAGTTTGTCAGGCATGCATAGAAATCGATTATTTTTCAGTTAGCTTGCCCAGATGTTAGATTGAGTTTTTGTTAATGTGATAGTAAAATGAAATTGTGACAGCTTGAATACAGATTTCAAGCTGCTGCCCATTTTTTCATATGAAACTGTAAAATGACAGAAAATAGGGGTTTATCTAGGCTTGCTCAGAGTGAGTGAGGTTTTAAACCACTTTTATAAACCTATTCATTGGGATCGCTATTAAGTAAGAGACTTCTTTCTGTAGGCATTTAAACCCATTGTGAGGTTTTACTTTCCAATCGGGTAAAATCTCATAAACAGGGACGTTGTAATGTCCCTGGGATTTTATATAATATCCCAGGGATTTTATAGGATATTCAAGTCATATATGCTATAATATCCCAGGGATTTTATATAATGTCCTGGGTATTTTATTAATATAACTTCCGTTCAGATTGTAACATGTAATGAAATGTAAAATCAAATGACAAATGTTTTCTTCATATTCCCGAGGATCGAACTCGCAACCTTCATATCTGTAGCCCAGTGAGTGTACCAGGAGGCTACAGAGGTGTTGATAACCCTCACTGGTTTTTAGAATGTCCTTTTCAAGATCCGTACGCCAGTAACATATTTTACGCGCATTAACATAAAAATGTTGATAAATGTTGTTTTAAGTTTCTTTTTTCGGTTTATAAGTATGGAAAAACACTTTCCCTCGGTTTTGGTAGACAGAGCATGCCCTGGGTGTCGGGGAAAAACCTCTCCCCAAGGCATGCTCTGTCTACCAAAACCTCTTGATCGTGTTTTCTCCAATACTTAGCAATATTCCAGCAATATCACGGTGGGGGGACACCAGAAATGGGCTTCATACATTATACCCATGTCAGGAATGGAACTCGATTCTTCGGCGTGACAAGCAAACGCTTTAACCACTTGGCTACCCGACCACCCCCTTGATAACATAAAATATCCCATACCTGATATTGAAATGGCTAATGATAAGGCTTATATCTCCTGTTTGGGAACTGTGACAGTAGCTTTGTTAAACAAATCGAATGTAGGTTAATATAAACATGGTAAATGAAAATGTTGAATTTTTCTTTTCTTTTCAGAACAAAAATCCTTGACTGACTACATCAATCATTATGAGGAGCTGAGGTTGGACACAGTCAGTATTCACCGAGACCATGAACGTGTGCGTCGGTCTCTAGATTCACATCTATATCTGCGCTTTAAAGCTTTCAACAGGTGAGGTCCACTTGAAGAATGAGGGAAGTGTTACCTCCTTTGGGTTTGTTTGGTGGAGTTACCTACCTTGGATTTGTTTGACAGAGTTACTTCCCTTGGATTTGTTCTGTGGAGTTACCTCCCTTGGATTTGTTCTGTGGAGTTTTTTTCATTTGGATTTGTATGCAAATTGCTATCTAATTGTTTCAGCGTATTGAAAACTTTGTCCAAATTCAGAAATGATGTGGTTTTCTATTGAAAATGTATCGCCTTGCAAAGTTATAAAAATCTTATTCTTGAAACTTCACTCTGAAGTATATTTTAGATAATGTTATTTTTGTGTGTATAATTTTCACTTTCAATGTATCCAGTAAATGGTGAATGATTGTTTTTAAAATAGCTGATGTGAATTCAGATTAACTTCTCTTATTATATATTTTCTATTTTTACAGAGATTTCCACATAAAATTAGAAAAGGACACGTCCGTTTACAGCCCGGATCATGTGACATCCGGCTTTGATGGACGTTTTCATCCAGTAGATACATCATATATATATCAAGGATCACTTGTAGGTGAGTCGGATAGGGATTGGATACAAATGTGTTATACCCTATAATGTTTATGAATCAATTATCACTTGTAGGTGAGTCCCTTTCAGCCTTGGGTTGGATAACTACTGTTTTACCCTGTAGTGTTTATGAATCAAGGATCACTTGTAGGTAAATCCCTTTTCAACCTTAGGTTGAATAACAATTGTTATACCCTGTAGTGTTTATGAATCAAGGATCACTTGTAGGTAAATCCCTTTTAGTCTTGGATTGAATAACAACTGTTTTACCCTATAGTGTTTATGAATCAAGGATCACTTGTAGGTGAGTCCCTTTCAGCCTTGGGTTGGATAACTACTGTTTTACCCTGTAGTGTTTATGAATCAAGGATCAGTGTTTATGAATCAAGTATCACTTGTAGGTAAGTCCCTTTCAACCTTGGCTTGAATAACAACTGTTATACCCTGTAGTGTTTATGAATCAAGGATCACTTATAGGTAAATCCCTTTTAGTCTTGGATTGGATAACAACTGTTTTACCCCATAGTGTTTATGAATCAAGGATCACTTGTAGGTAAGTCCCTTCAACCTTGAGTTGGATAACTACTGTTATACCCTGAAATGTTTATGAATCAAGGATCACTTGTAGGTAAGTCCTTTTTCAGCTTTGGGTTGAATAACAACTGTTTTACCCTGTAGTGTTTATGAATCAAGGATCACTTGTAAGTAAATCCCTTTCAACCTTGGGTTGGATAACAACTGTGATACCCTGTAGTGTTTATGAAGATCATTAGGCCATTCTGCTGAGGACGTAGCACACACTAGATCGATTATGGAGATTGGTTATTTGATATTAATGAAAATTTCATCTGTTTCGTTCTAAATTCCAACTACTGCAATATTCCGAGACAGTAGGCAATCTGACACAGCTAACTCTTTTCATGTATTCCAGGTGTGCCTCACAGCTACGTTCACCTTTCCATCATCAACGGCACAACTCGAGGTCATGTTCACATCCCAGGGGAGACAACCTACCATATAGAACCGGCAGAACAGTATATGCAAAACCCACACTTCCATTCTGTGATATACGATGAGAGACATGTTGACCTTGACCCTTACAGGTAAGAATGACGCTAGTGAGGACAACATTGTCCACAGAAATCATCACCATCAGTTGGGCTTCTTGTACAATTTGTAACATAAGGATAAAGACTGTAAAACGTGAAATTAATGCATCTCCAAAAGAATGCGACTGCTGGCCCCTAGCCAAAAATGCGACTCAATATGAATGCGACACCCCTCCTCTCAAGCATCAGTGGATTTATATCTGAACAAAATGTCCTCTGTCAGGTTTACAGGAGAATCCTCACCTTAATCCAACCTTACATTAATCCAATCACACACCAAATAGCACCGCTTATTAGCACTGAGTAGAGTACTTCAGCTAAAACACTGCGTGCGCGCTGGCTCGTGTCAGCCTTTGATGCAGCCGCAAAGAGCAAAGACACCGTGTTGGGTGGCGTCTGTCTGGACTTGCAGGTGTGATCAGTGATGACATGAGTGAGTAGAACGCTTGTCTTGACCCCAGCAGTGACAATTCACAGGATGTAATTAGTGTTTGAATGACATTGTTTATATACTTGTTACCATGGTTACAAGTGCTGCTCAATAAACATTGATGTGGAATACATACTTGTTTGTTTTCAGCGTATGTCTAAGTTGGTATTTCTGCTATCCAAAATGTCTTATTTTTTGGTTGATATAAATGCGATGTTTAATAATGCGAGCAAAGACCACTCGCATTTTTCGCATTTAATTCACGCTCGCGTTAATTTCACGTTTTACAGTAGTAGTTTGATTACAGTCTGTCCCCAAAACAAGATTTGTTTCATTTGACTTTTATTCCTAACATATAGAATATTTTTAAGATTAGTTTTACTCGACGCAAACCTTTGGGTAAAGCCACTGACTGTGATTGTTTGGTGGCGTTTTGAAAAAGGGTTCCAGATATTTCTGTTTCTCTGCTCCCAAAAATGTGTCCGATGTCATATGAGCTCAAAACGGCGATACATGGGTCAGTTGCAGTAAGCGAGACACATGACGTTTGTGCATGATTTACTGCAGTAGAGTTTATGTATAGGTGATGCCTACATTCGATCAGAAAATAAAGATGAATTAAAATAATCGGTTACTCAAACTCAGAAGGCTACATTTGGTAATTATGCACACTGTTATGATACTATTTTTTTATTTTTTTATAATTTTCCTGGGTTTTGTATGCAATCAACTCAAAATTGATTGGGCTGGGGTGAATTGTTTTACATATTTTATGCAAAAATATCACCTTCTCTGGAGCTCTGATCAAAGTATCAGCTTCTCTGGAGCTCTGATCAAAGTATCAGCTTCTCTGGAGCTCTGATCAAAGTATCAGCTTCTCTGGAGCTCTGATCAAAGTATCAGCTTCTCTGGAGCTCTGATCAAAGTATCAGCTTCTCTGGAGCTCTGATCAAAGTATCAGCTTCTCTGGAGCTCTGATCAAAGTATCAGCTTCTCTGGAGCTCTGATCAAAGTATCAGCTTCTCTGGAGCTCTGATCAAAGTATCAGCTTCTCTGGAGCTCTGATCAAAGTATCAGCTACTCTGGAGCTCTGATCACAATTTGACCAAAAAAAGTGTGGATACAGCATGTTATTTACTTGAGAAATAATATCTGACATTCATGGGTCCCTTGTTCATACCATAAACCTGTGATATTGAATTTGATTCCTGGTTTGCCGGGATTATGTTTCTAGATTTGTTAGCACCAAACCCCCGCTTATGAGTTTCACCTCAAGCTGACACGCTGTGATATAAGTGGATAATTGTTCATTAAACCCATCTCACTCACTCACTCACTCACTCACTCACTCACTCACTCACTCACTCACTCACTCACTCACTCAACATCGCTATATAAGTGCACTTATCTTGGACGTGACGTTAAACCCCATTTCACCTCACTCACTCACTCACTCACTCTTTTATGATGTAATGTCAGTGTCCTGCTGTGTTCTCCCTTGCATGAAAATGGCCTCACCCCCAATTCACTTCTTGTTGCAGACATCGGCGTGAGGCAGACAGGGCGACATGCGGCAACGACCACCATTTTGAATGGATGAGGCGTGTGGCTGAGTCAGCATATGAGTCACCAAACAGAGCAAAGCGAGTAAGGAATCTATTGCTTGTCTCCCCGTGGGGATTCCAGGTTAGAACAGATCCTTAGGAATCTATGCTTGTCTCCCCGTGAGGATTCCAGTTTAGAACTGATCCCCAGGAACCTATGCTTGTCTTCTTGTGGGCATTCCAGGTTAGAACTGATCCCCAGGAATCTATGCTTGTCTTCTTGTGGGCATTCCAGGTTAGAACTGATCCCCAGGAATCTATGCTTGTCTTCTTGTGGGCATTCCAGGTTAGAACTGATCCCCAGGAATCTATGCTTGTCTCCCCGTGGGGTTTCCAGGTTAGACCAGGTCTGCAGTAACATATTGCTTGTCTCCCCATGAGGATTCCAGGTCAGAACAGGTCCCCAGTAACATATTGCTTGTCTCCCCATGAGGATTCCAGGTTAGAACAGGTCCCCAGTAACATATTGCTTGTCTCCCCATGAGGATTCCAGGTCAGAACAGATCCTCAGGAACCTATTGCTTGTCTCCCCATGAGGATTCCAGGTCAGAACAGGTCCCCAGTAACATATTGCTTGTCTCCCCATGAGGATTCCAGGTTAGAACAGATCCTCAGGAACCTATTGTTTGTCTCCCCATGAGGATTCCAGGTCAGAACAGATCCTCAGGAACCTATTGTTTGTCTCCCCATGAGGATTCCAGGTTAGAACAGATCCTCAGGAACCTATTGTTTGTCTCCCCATGAGGATTCCAGGTCAGAACAGGTCCCCAGTAACATATTGCTTGTCTCCCCATGAGGATTCCAGGTTAGAACAGATCCTCAGGAACCTATAGTTTGTCTCCCCATGAGGATTCCAGGTCAGAACAGGTCCCCAGTAACATATTGCTTGTCTACCCATGAGGATTCCAGGTCAGAACAGATCCTCAGGAACCTATTGTTTGTCTCCCCATGAGGATTCCAGGTTAGAACAGGTCCCCAGTAACATATTGTTTGTCTCCCCATGAGGATTCCAGGTTAGAACAGATCCTCAGGAACCTATTGTTTGTCTCCCCATGAGGATTCCAAGTCAGAACAGGTCCCCAGTAACATATTGCTTGTCTCCCCATGAGGATTCCAGGTTAGAACAGATCCTCAGGAACCTATTGTTTGTCTCCCCATGAGGATTCCAGGTCAGAACAGGTCCCCAGTAACATATTGCTTGTCTCCCCATGAGGATTCCAGGTTAGAACAGATCCTCAGGAACCTATTGTTTGTCTCCCCATGAGGATTCCAGGTCAGAACAGGTCCCCAGTAACATATTGCTTGTCTCCCCATGAGGATTCCAGGTCAGAACAGATCCTCAGGAACCTATTGTTTGTCTCCCCATGAGGATTCCAGGTTAGAACAGATCCTCAGGAACCTATTGTTTGTCTCCCCATGAGGATTCCAGTTCAGAACAGGTCCCCAGTAACATATTGCTTGTCTCCCCATGAGGATTCCAGGTCAGAACAGATCCTCAGGAACCTATTGTTTGTCTCCCCTTGGGGATTCCAGGTTAGAACAGATCCTTAGAATCTATGCTTGTCTTCTTGTGGGGATTCCAGATTAGAACAGATCCTCAGGAATCTATACTTGTCTTCTTGTGGGGATTCCAGGTTAGAACAGGTTAGAGTTTGAGTGGGCAACAAGTAGACTCACTGAGATTTCTAGGGGGGTACAGTGGGTGGGAATCTTCCTGCGACGAGACAGGAGGTGGGGGTCAGAATAATCCCCAAACAAGTTACCCAGCAGCCTTATACTCTACGAACCCTCAGAATTCCTTTAACATTAGATCAGCAGTAGAAATTGGCACTAGTCCTGTAGTCCTTGCCAAACTGCCCAGTAGTAAAGGTATCATAAGGACTAGCAGACATTTGCCATTTTTAGGGGTTTTGCTATATGCTATCATTATAAGGACTAGTGGACTGAAACCGTTAGTTTCTACAGCTGTAGATGCACTGACTTGTGTGAATTTCTATCCTGCTCATCATGAATTTCTTCTGTCAGGCAACGATGGATCATGAGGAACCCCTACACTCCCACAACAAATACACCGAGCAGTTGAACCGCCAGAAAAGGGCACCCAAGAACCTCGGGACAAAGAACACATGTTACCTCTACCTGCGCTCTGACCCGATGTTGTGGAACTACGTGAAGAACGAGAAGTACCCAGGAACAACACTGGTGAGGACATAGCATGTTATACCATGTGTCTCTCAGGTGATATCATTGTTCCACATCAAGGTTAATTGTTATACATCAAGAATAATTGTTCCATGTCAAGGATGAGTATTGACCCAGTAACAGCACTGGTGTATACCATGTTATACCATGTGTCTCTCAGGTGATATCATTGTTCCACATCAAGGTTAATTGTTGTACATCAAGAATAATTGTTCCACGTCAAGGATGAGTATTGACCCAGTAACAGCACTGGTGTATACCATGTTATACCATGTGTCTCTCAGGTGATATCATTGTTCCACATCAAGGTTAATTGTTGTACATCAAGAATAATTGTTCCACGTCAAGGATGAGTATTGACCCAGTAACAACACTGGTGTATACCATGTTATACCATGTGTGTCTCAGGTGATATCATTGTTCCACATCAAGGTTAATTGTTATACATCAAGAATAATTGTTCCATGTCAAGGATGAGTATTGACCCAGTAACAGCACTGGTGTATACCATGTTATACCATGTGTCTCTCAGGTGATATCATTGTTCCACATCAAGGTTAATTGTTGTACATCAAGAATAATTGTTCCACGTCAAGGATGAGTATTGACCCAGTAACAGCACTGGTGTATACCATGTTATACCATGTGTCTCTCAGGTGATATCATTGTTCCACATCAAGGTTAATTGTTGTACATCAAGAATAATTGTTCCACGTCAAGGATGAGTATTGACCCAGTAACAACACTGGTGTATACCATGTTATACCATGTGTGTCTCAGGTGATATCATTGTTCCACATCAAGGTTAATTGTTGTACATCAAGAATAATTGTTCCATGTCAAGGATGAGTATTGACCCAGTAACAGCACTGGTGTATACCATGTTATACCATGTGTCTCTCAGGTGATATCATTGTTCCACATCAAGGTTAATTGTTGTACATCAAGAATAATTGTTCCACGTCAAGGATGAGTATTGACCCAGTAACAACACTGGTGTATACCATGTTATACCATGTGTCTCTCAGGTGATATCATTGTTCCACATCAAGGTTAATTGTTGTACATCAAGAATAATTGTTCCACGTCAAGTATGAGTATTGACCCAGTAACAACACTGGTGTATACCATGTTATACCATGTGTCTCTCAGGTGATATCATTGTTCCACATCAAGGTTAATTGTTGTACATCAAGAATAATTGTTTCACGTTAAGTATGAGTATTGACCCAGTAACAACACTGGTGTATACCATGTTCTACCATGTGTGTCTCAGGTGATATCATTGTTCCACATCAAGGTTAATTGTTGAACATCAAGAATAATTGTTCCACGTCAAGTATGAGTATTGACCCAGGAACAGCACTGATGTATACCATGTTATACCATGTGTGTCTCAGGTGATATCATTGTTCCACATCAAGGTTAATTGTTGTACATCAAGAATAATTGTTCCACGTCAAGGATGAGTATTGACCCAGTAACAACACTGGTGTATACCATGTTATACCATGTGTGTCTCAGGTGATATCATTGTTCCACATCAAGGTTAATAGTTGTACATCAAGAATAATTGTTCCACGTCAAGTATGAGTATTGACCCAGTAACAACACTGGTGTATACCATGTTATACCATGTGTCTCTCAGGTGATATCATTGTGCCACATCAAGGTTAATTGTTGTACATCAAGAATAATTGTTCCACGTCAAGTATGAGTATTGACCCAGTAACAGCACTGGTGTATACCATGTTATACCATGTGTGTCTCAGGTGATATCATTGTTCCACATCAAGGTTAATTGTTGTACATCAAGAATAATTGTTCCACGTCAAGGATGAGTATTGACCCAGGAACAGCACTGGTGTATACCATGTTATACCATGTGTGTCTCAGGTGATATCATTGTTCCACATCAAGGTTAATTGTTGTACATCAAGAATAAATGTTCCACGTCAAGTATGAGTATTGACCCAGTAACAACACTGGTGTATACCATGTTATACCATGTGTGTCTCAGGTGATATCATTGTTCCACATCAAGGTTAATTGTTGTACATCAAGAATAATTGTTCCACGTCAAGGATGAGTATTGACCCAGGAACAACACTGGTGTATACCATGTTATACCATGTGTCTCTCAGGTGATATCATTGTGCCACATCAAGGTTAATTGTTGTACATCAAGAATAATTGTTCCACGTCAAGTATGAGTATTGACCCAGTAACAACACTGGTGTATACCATGTTATACCATGTGTCTCTCAGGTGATATCATTGTGCCACATCAAGGTTAATTGTTGTACATCAAGAATAATTGTTCCACGTCAAGTATGAGTATTGACCCAGTAACAGCACTGGTGTATACCATGTTATACCATGTGTGTCTCAGGTGATATCATTGTTCCACATCAAGGTTAATTGTTGTACATCAAGAATAATTGTTCCACGTCAAGGATGAGTATTGACCCAGGAACAGCACTGGTGTATACCATGTTATACCATGTGTCTCTCAGGTGATATCATTGTTCCACATCAAGGTTAATTGTTGTACATCAAGAATAATTGTTCCACGTCAAGTATGAGTATTGACCCAGTAACAACACTGGTGTATACCATGTTATACCATGTGTCTCTCAGGTGATATCATTGTTCCACATCAAGGTTAATTGTTGTACATCAAGAATAATTGTTCCACGTCAAGGATGAGTATTGACCCAGTAACAACACTGGTGTATACCATGTTATACCATGTGTCTCTCAGGTGATATCATTGTTCCACATCAAGGTTAATTGTTGTACATCAAGAATAATTGTTCCACGTCAAGGATGAGTATTGACCCAGTAACAACACTGGTGTATACCATGTTATACCATGTGTCTCTCAGGTGATATCATTGTTCCACATCAAGGTTAATTGTTGTACATCAAGAATAATTGTTCCATGTCAAGGATGAGTATTGACCCAGTAACAACACTGGTGTATACCATGTTATACCATGTGTCTCTCAGGTGATATCATTGTTCCACATCAAGGTTAATTGTTGTACATCAAGAATAATTGTTCCACGTCAAGGATGAGTATTGACCCAGTAACAACACTGGTGTATACCATGTTATACCATGTGTCTCTCAGGTGATATCATTGTTCCACATCAAGGTTAATTGTTGTACATCAAGAATAATTGTTCCACGTCAAGTATGAGTATTGACCCAGTAACAACACTGGTGTATACCATGTTATACCATGTGTGTCTCAGGTGATATCATTGTTCCACATCAAGGTTAATTGTTGTACATCAAGAATAATTGTTTCACGTTAAGTATGAGTATTGACCCAGTAACAACACTGGTGTATACCATGTTATACCATGTGTCTCTCAGGTGATATCATTGTTCCACATCAAGGTTAATTGTTGAACATCAAGAATAATTGTTCCACGTCAAGTATGAGTATTGACCCAGGAACAGCACTGATGTATACCATGTTATACCATGTGTGTCTCAGGTGATATCATTGTTCCACATCAAGGTTAATTGTTGTACATCAAGAATAATTGTTCCACGTCAAGGATGAGTATTGACCCAGTAACAACACTGGTGTATACCATGTTATACCATGTGTGTCTCAGGTGATATCATTGTTCCACATCAAGGTTAATAGTTGTACATCAAGAATAATTGTTCCACGTCAAGTATGAGTATTGACCCAGTAACAACACTGGTGTATACCATGTTATACCATGTGTCTCTCAGGTGATATCATTGTGCCACATCAAGGTTAATTGTTGTACATCAAGAATAATTGTTCCACGTCAAGTATGAGTATTGACCCAGTAACAGCACTGGTGTATACCATGTTATACCATGTGTGTCTCAGGTGATATCATTGTTCCACATCAAGGTTAATTGTTGTACATCAAGAATAATTGTTCCACGTCAAGGATGAGTATTGACCCAGGAACAGCACTGGTGTATACCATGTTATACCATGTGTGTCTCAGGTGATATCATTGTTCCACATCAAGGTTAATTGTTGTACATCAAGAATAAATGTTCCACGTCAAGTATGAGTATTGACCCAGTAACAACACTGGTGTATACCATGTTATACCATGTGTGTCTCAGGTGATATCATTGTTCCACATCAAGGTTAATTGTTGTACATCAAGAATAATTGTTCCACGTCAAGGATGAGTATTGACCCAGGAACAACACTGGTGTATACCATGTTATACCATGTGTCTCTCAGGTGATATCATTGTGCCACATCAAGGTTAATTGTTGTACATCAAGAATAATTGTTCCACGTCAAGTATGAGTATTGACCCAGTAACAACACTGGTGTATACCATGTTATACCATGTGTCTCTCAGGTGATATCATTGTGCCACATCAAGGTTAATTGTTGTACATCAAGAATAATTGTTCCACGTCAAGTATGAGTATTGACCCAGTAACAGCACTGGTGTATACCATGTTATACCATGTGTGTCTCAGGTGATATCATTGTTCCACATCAAGGTTAATTGTTGTACATCAAGAATAATTGTTCCACGTCAAGGATGAGTATTGACCCAGGAACAGCACTGGTGTATACCATGTTATACCATGTGTCTCTCAGGTGATATCATTGTTCCACATCAAGGTTAATTGTTGTACATCAAGAATAATTGTTCCACGTCAAGTATGAGTATTGACCCAGTAACAACACTGGTGTATACCATGTTATACCATGTGTCTCTCAGGTGATATCATTGTTCCACATCAAGGTTAATTGTTGTACATCAAGAATAATTGTTCCACGTCAAGGATGAGTATTGACCCAGTAACAACACTGGTGTATACCATGTTATACCATGTGTCTCTCAGGTGATATCATTGTTCCACATCAAGGTTAATTGTTGTACATCAAGAATAATTGTTCCACGTCAAGGATGAGTATTGACCCAGTAACAACACTGGTGTATACCATGTTATACCATGTGTCTCTCAGGTGATATCATTGTTCCACATCAAGGTTAATTGTTGTACATCAAGAATAATTGTTCCACGTCAAGGATGAGTATTGACCCAGTAACAACACTGGTGTATACCATGTTATACCATGTGTCTCTCAGGTGATATCATTGTTCCACATCAAGGTTAATTGTTGTACATCAAGAATAATTGTTCCACGTCAAGGATGAGTATTGACCCAGTAACAACACTGGTGTATACCATGTTATACCATGTGTCTCTCAGGTGATATCATTGTTCCACATCAAGGTTAATTGTTGTACATCAAGAATAATTGTTCCACGTCAAGGATGAGTATTGACCCAGTAACAACACTGGTGTATACCATGTTATACCATGTGTGTCTCAGGTGATATCATTGTTCCACATCAAGGTTAATTGTTGTACATCAAGAATAATTGTTCCACGTCAAGGATGAGTATTGACCCAGTAACAACACTGGTGTATACCATGTTATACCATGTGTCTCTCAGGTGATATCATTGTTCCACATCAAGGTTAATTGTTGTACATCAAGAATAATTGTTCCACGTCAAGGATGAGTATTGACCCAGTAACAACACTGGTGTATACCATGTTATACCATGTGTCTCTCAGGTGATATCATTGTTCCACATCAAGGTTAATTGTTGTACATCAAGAATAATTGTTCCACGTCAAGGATGAGTATTGACCCAGTAACAACACTGGTGTATACCATGTTATACCATGTGTCTCTCAGGTGATATCATTGTTCCACATCAAGGTTAATTGTTGTACATCAAGAATAATTGTTCCACGTCAAGGATGAGTATTGACCCAGGAACAACACTGGTGTATACCATGTTATACCATGTGTGTCTCAGGTGATATCATTGTTCCACATCAAGGTTAATTGTTGTACATCAAGGATAATTGTTCCATGTCAAGTATGAGTATTGATCCAGTAACAACACTGGTGTATACCATGTTATACCATGTGTGTCTCAGGTGATATCATTGTTCCACATCAAGGTTAATTGTTGTACATCAAGGATAATTGTTCCACGTCAAGTATGAGTATTGTTATACCATGTTATACCATGTGTTTCTCTGGTGATATCATTGTTATACATAATTAACTACCTTGGAACAACACTTGTGAAGAAGACATGCTATGCCATATCTCTGATTGGTTATAGAATTGTTGTACAGCATAGACGAGGAGTACCAGCAACAACACTGACGAGGATGTATGTGTGATACAATACTTTTTGTGTAGATATAATTATCGTGATTATCATTCATTCCTGTTATATCTAACGTAATATTTTTGTTGTACCATTGTAATATACAAGGGAAGGTAACTCCTGCTGGTATAGCCAATGTAATACAGAAGGGGAGGTAACTCCTGTGTGTTACAGAGTGACGAGCGAGCTAAGGAGGAGATATTGGCGTTCTTCGCGAGTCACGTGGCAGCCCTGAAGTCGATCTACTCCACGACGACCTTCAATACATACGATGACACCATGTCATACAAGGGCATCAACTTCCTGGTTCAGAGAACACGAGTGAGTGGTTGTTAACTAAGAGGAGAGTAACAATATGTCAAACTATCGATGTATTGCAACCGTATGACCTACCATTGTATGATATCGATACAAATTTAATACAACAATGGTATTGTCCATTATATAACAATCGATAGTCTCAATAGTCACAATTAGTTATAAATAAAATTAAATTATGGGTCAGAAAACTCAGTTTTTAGAGTCAAATTACAAATTTGCCTTGTGTTCATTTGCAAGGATTACAACTTCAGATTAGAGTTACTTCCCTTTGGTTTGAGTTGCGACAGGGAGAAAAATGGTCGACTTTTACATTGTCAGCAATACTTGCTGCATTTCTATAACTTTAAAGGTGGGTAAATACTATCACGTCCCGTGAAGTTCCAGGGTAGAATCGGTCTTCAGCAACCCATCTTTGCTGTAAAATGCGACTATGCTTGTCGTAAGAGACGACTTATGTTATTGTGTGGTCCAGACTCGATTATATACAGACCGCTGTCATAAAGCTGGAATATTGCTGAGTGCGGCATTAAACAACAAACTAACCATATACTATAGAGGCTTATGGGAAATCATATTTTATTTCGCAGATAATGACTTCCGCCACAGAGAAGTGCAGTAGCGCTAGTGCCAGTGCATGGTGCAATCCCAACATTGACGTCAGCAACTTCCTAAACCTCAACTCCATGGACAACCACGACGACTTCTGCCTGGCGTACGTCTTCACGTACCGCGACTTTATCCAGGGGACCCTGGGACTGGCTTGGGTCGGTTCGGAGACAAGTAAGATATGAATCCTATGTTAAGGTATCGTTAATTATAGAAAGTGTCTTAAAAACTTTTCAGACTAATCCCGTGAAGGTCAGGGTTAGAATTGCACCAAAGAGTTCTCAAATGGTTGGTGTTCAGACTTGCAGAAGTTAGTGGTTGTATCTCACTTCCCCAATAAGGTAAGCATGTTGTTGTGTATTGACAGAGGCGGCTGGCGGTATCTGCGAACAGTTCAAGGAATACCCCGAGGGCAACCAGCGTGTGGGGAAGAGTCTCAACACGGGGATTGTCACCATCGTCAACTACGGCAAGCCTGTGCAGGCCCGGGTATCACAGCTCACTTTTGCTCACGAAGTCGGACACAACTTTGGATCTCCGGTACGTCTCAAGTTGGTGTCTGTTTTGTAGGCGCTGCTGACAGTAACAACAATACAGGGTATCACACGGGGGCACATGTGGGGCCTTTGTCATGCCGTTAGACCCTTGTCACTAACGGGATCGGGTGGTCAGGCTCGCTGACTTGGTTGATGCATGTCATCGATCTCAATTGCGTGGATCGGTGCTCATGGTGTCAGTCACTGGGTTGTCTGGTCCAGACTTGATTACTGAAAGACCGCCGTCATATAGCTGGAATATTGCTGAGTGCGGCGTTAAACAACTCTACGTACAGTACGACAGGGGCCTAACATGTGCCCCCTGTGTGATGCCCTGTCTAACATGTTTACTCTACGTACAGCATGACAAGGGCCCTACATGTTCCCCCAGTGTGTTGCCCTGTCTAACATGTTTACTCTACGTACAGTAGGACGAGGGCCCTACATGTGCCCCCTGTGTGTTGCCCTGTCTAACATGTTTACTCTACGTACAGTAGGACGAGGGCCCTACATGTGCCCCCTGTATGTTGCCCTGTCTAACATGTTTACTCTACGTACAGTAGGACGAGGGCCCTACATGTGCCCCCTGTGTGTTGCCCTGTCTAACATGTTTACTCTACGTACAGTAGGACGAGGGCCCTACATGTGCCCCCTGTATGTTGCCCTGTCTAACATGTTTACTCTACGTACAGTAGGACGAGGGCCCTACATGTGCCCCCTGTGTGTTGCCCTGTCTAACATGTTTACTCTACGTACAGTAGGTCGAGGGCCCTACATGTGCCCCCTGTGTGTTGCCCTGTCTAACATGTTTACTCTACGTACAGTAGGGCGAGGGCCCTACATGTGCCCCGTGTGTGATGCCCTGTCTAACATGTTTACTCTACGTACAGTAGGACGAGGGCCCTACATGTGCCCCCTGTTTGTTGCCCTGTCTAACATGTTTACTCTACGTACAGTAGGACGAGGGCCCTACATGTGCCCCCTGTATGTTGCCCTGTCTAACATGTTTACTCTACGTACAGTAGGACGAGGGCCCTACATGTGCCCCCTGTGTGTTGCCCTGTCTAACATGTTTTCTCTACGTACAGTAGGACGAGGGCCCTACATGTGCCCCCTGTGTGTTGCCCTGTCTAACATGTTTACTCTACGTACAGTAGGACGAGGGCCCTACATGTGCCCCCTGTATGTTGCCCTGTCTTAACACCCTGTCTAACATGTTTACTCTACGTACAGTAGGACGAGGGCCCTACATGTGCCCCCAGTGTGTTGCCCTGTCTTAACACCCTGTCTAACATGTTTACTCTTCGCACAGCACGACAAGGGCCCTACATGTGCCCCCTATGGGACCAGTCAGCCCGACGCATCCCAAGGTAACTACATCATGTTTGCATCTGCAACCCTCGGTGACAAGAACCACAACGACGAGTTCTCCACCTGCAGCCGTGACAACATCACCCGTGTCCTCGACGCAGTTGTCAACAAGCGATACAGCAAGATCAACTGTTTCAACTGTGAGTTCAGAAACTTGACCGCAGACAAAGATGATTTACTTTTACAGTGTTACCTCCCTATTGCGCTCTTCAATATATCGCTAACTCGGTTACTGCGAGCGGTAAAGCATGGCTCCCCAAAATTATACCTGTTTTTTCACCTGAATTCGCTGAAGGGATATGATGTGTTTTTTTGAAAGCGCATATTAATACTCGATAATTATTTTTTAACACTATGAATCATAAACAACTTCTATTCAAATCTTTTTTTTAAACTCTGAAACGTGCAACATAGATCGTGTTAGGTAGGCAGAGCATGTATACTGTTTTGTTGGTCATCTACCACCTACGACTCGACCTTCGTTAAACTGCTGTTCATCTATAACGCTCATCAATTATTTGGACCCCAAAGGTAGCATTATAGCGAGGGATCACTGTAGTTGTCCAAGGATTTATCTGGGATTTTAATCAAATGCTCCTGGTGGGCAAGTTGGGAAAAAAAATTGTGCAAAATTGGTATTTTTTTAGGTTCTTTTTTTTAGGTTCTTTTTTTCTAATAATTTTAATGTTCTACTTTAGCATTGCATCCAATGTACAATTAAAAATTAAAATTAAAGTGAAATTTTTTTTCTTTGATAGTCCTGTTATCAGTAAATACAAGTCACATCAACCAAGCAGTCACACTAATTATACTCATATTAACATAATTGGAAAATGTTTCATCTCAATTTGGGAATTTGTACTGTCATTTGCAGCAGACTTTGACGGGATATCAGCCTCTGAGTAGATCCAGATAAATCCTTGTCGTCAATTGTTTTACAGAGCTCCAGATAACTTTTTGAGCAATTGAGTTTTTACTGGAAGGTTTCTATTTTAATTGGGTTATTACATTTTTCATTGGGTAACCAATATTTTTTCACTCATCTATTCATCACTCTATTGGGTTTTCGCCAAATATGCTAACATTTTGAGATTTAAAAAAAAGCAGATAATGTTTTAAATGTATATAACGGTTCTAACTAAAGGCTTGACTTGGAAAGTAAATTAGCTCGTAATTGTGCTTCGGAAATTAGCTCCATTGTACTCATGCTGAAAAAGCTTCATTGGGTATTTACGCGTGCTGTTTTGATACATTTGAGTTTTTCATTTAATGTATGCGTTTCTGTATGCAAGTTAATCATGTTAATTGAAAGTAATTGGGTTTTGAATATTTTCAAGGGGTATTTTACGCAAATACGCAGCTTATCTGTAGCTCTGGTTTTATCATTATTCATTGTGATTTTGAACCATCCAGTATCAGTCAAGTTGAAGCAATGTAATTTTTCCATCCAACAGTGAACTTCTAAATTGGGACAATATTGTGTATCAGTCTTGATTTGAGAAAGTATGAATTGCAGCAATGCTGTTTTTCCATCTTGTGTGAGAGATGGATATATATTGTCAAAATTCTGTTAATGTGTCTGTGTTTAGGAAATTTATCTTGGAACAATGTTGATTATCTGTCTATGTTTAAGAAAGCATAGGTTGTCACTAGGGCTGCAACAAATACACTATGAGGCGAATACGATTCATATCACAAATATAGGGTAACAAATACGAATATTAATTCCCGAATACAATAACAAGTCAGCAGCTGATGTATTATTTGTTATATTCAATGAAGCAATAACAACATAAACTATTTGACATGGTTTGATGATTATTAATATATTATAAAATTTATATACTGCACTTATTCAGGTACTAGTATCTGCTCAAATGCGACAATGACCAGTGACCACAATACTGTCAAATTAAATATTATAAGAGTGTTGTCTTTGAAGAAATCTATGCATATAATATGTTCTTATGGATATTTTTAGGTATAGGGTATGTAAATACACATGCTTGCATATTCATAAATATTCGGTTCGATAAACGAATTCAATTCATGAATGGATACGGTTGGATTCCCTGAATATGCGTGTGAATCATACAGACCTAGTAGTCACAATGTGGAGTATCTCATATATACGAGGGGCGTTTAATAAGTTTTGCAACTTTAATATAAGACCAACTCGCAGAATATCTTTTGCTCGTTTATTTTTCAATATAGTCTCCATTCACCTCAATACACTTATTCCATTTGTCCTTCAAGCTTTTAATACCACTTTTATAGAATCCGCAGATTGGCCCTCTAACCACGCCTCTGTGGCAGCCTTTATGTCCTCATCATCCTGGAAGCGTCTTCCACATAGGGCAGATTTCATTTGCCGGAACAGAAAATAGTCACTGGGGGCGAAGTGTGGGCTGTAAGGTGTAGATAAAAATATGTGTTGTAACGTTGTTATGTATCCATGCAGCCTCTAAGTCGGCGTTCTGCGGCAACGGCATCACAGAGGCAGGGGAGCAGTGCGACTGCGGCTACGCCAGCGACTGCGACCAGACGGACGAGTGCTGCTTCGGTAAAGGCAGCGTGGGAGGCCCAGAGTGCACGCTACGGCCAAACAAAGACTGCAGGTATGCGTTTCTCTCAAAAGGGGGCCAACGTTGGGGAAGTTGATAGTCCCTTGCTGAGAAATGATAGCCAAATGTTGTTATGAGAAATGATAGCTAAATTGTTTGACTTGTAATGCTAGCTGAATGTTTGACAAGTATGATAGTTTGATGTTTGACGAGTATGATAGCTGAATGTTTGACGAGTATGATAGCTGAATGTTTGACGAGTATGGTAGCTGGATCTTTGACTAGTAATGGTTGCTTGATGGTTGACAAGTAATGGTGGCTGGATGTTTGATTAGTAATGGTGGCTGGATGTTTGATTAGTAATGGCAGCTGGATGTTTGACTAGTAATGGTGGCTGGATGTTTGACTAGTAATGGTGGCTGGCTGTTTGACAAGTAATGGCAGCTGGATGTTTGACAAGTAATGGCAGCTGGATGATTGACTAGTAATGGTGGCTGGCTGTTTGACTAGTAATGGCAGCTGGATGTTTGACTAGTAATGGCAGCTGGATGTTTGACTAGTAATGGTGGCTGGCTGTTTGACTAGTAATGGCAGCTGGATGTTTGACAAGTAACGGCAGCTGGATGTTTTACTAGTAATGGCAGCTGGATGTTTTACTAGTAATGGCAGCATGATGTTTGACTAGTAACGGCAGCTGGATGTTTGACAAGTAACGGCAGCTGGATGTATGACTAGTAATGGCAGCTGGATGTTTGACAAGTAATGGCAGCTGGATGTATGACTAGTAATGGCAGCTGGATGTTTGACAAGTTATAGCAGCTGGATGGTTGACAAGTAATGGTGGCTGGATGTTTGATTAGTAATGGTGGCTGGATATTTGACAAGTAATGGCAGCTGGATGTTTGACTAGTAATGGTGGCTGGATGTTTGACAAGTAATGGCAGCTGGATGTTTGACAAGTAATGGCAGCTGGATGTTTGACTAGTAATGGTGGCTGGATGTTTGACTAGTAATGGCAGCTGGATGTTTGACAAGTAATGGCAGCTGGATGTTTGACAAGTAATGGCAGCTGGATGTTTGACAAGTAATGGCAGCTGGATGTATGACTAGTAATGGCGGCTTGACGTTTGTGTTTCAGTCCCACGGCCGGACCCTGCTGCAACAAGGACTGTACCTTCCAGACTGGAAACCTGTGCAAGAAGAAAGATGACTGCTCCAAGGACTCAAAGTGCGAATATCCTTTTACAGTGTTTACAACAGGAATGTGTTTTGACTTGGTCATTTCCACTGGGGGGGCACGGGTGGCCCACTCGTCTAAAGCGTCGCGATTCGCTGTGCAGAATTGCGTCCCTTGGACACGCCAGAAACCTATGATTGTGGGTTCAAATCCCTGTTCGCCCCGATTATGTTTCTATGTTTGTCAGCACCATACCCATGCTCGTGGGTTTCACCAAAGTGGTAAACGTCTGAGACCTTCATCACTTTGGGCTTTCCTCCCACATTAAGCTGACACGCCGTGATATAACTGGAATAATGTTAAAAGCGGCGTTAAACCCAACTCACTCACTCATTTCCACTGTGGATACAACCCCTCTTCAGACCCACTCCACTAGGCAGAACTGGTCCCTGGTGAAAGAGATCATTTGTAATATTATTGGTATTCATGCTTCATTCTGACCCTATTGCTTAGTGTGTCAAACCCGTGAAGACCCGGGGTAGAATAGGTCTTCAGCAACCCATGCTTGTCTCACTCCGTGTAGACCCGGGGTAGAATAGGTCTTCAGCAACCCATGCTTGTCTCACTCTGTGAAGACCCGGGGTAGAATAGGTCTTCAGCAACCAATGCTTGTCTCACTCCGTGAAGACCCGGGGTAGAATAAGTCTTCAGCAACCCATGCTTGTCTCACTTCGTGAAGACCCGGGGTAGAATAAGTCTTCAGCAACCCATGCTTGTCTCACTCCTTTAAGACCCGGGGTAGAATAGGTCTTCAGCAACCCATGCTTGTCTCACTCTGTGAAGACCCGGGGTAGAATAAGTCTTCAGCAACCCATGCTTGTCTCACTCCGTGAAGACCCAGGGTAGAATAAGTCTTAGCAACCCATGTTTGTCTCACTCCGTGAAGACCCGGGGTAGAATAGGTCTTCAGCAACCCATGCTTGTCTCACTCCTTTAAGACCCGGGGTAGAATAAGTCTTCAGCAACCCATGCTTGTCTCACTTCGTGAAGACCCGGGGTAGAATAGGTCTTCAGCAACCCATGCTTGTCTCACTCCGTGAAGACCCGGGGTAGAATAGGTCTTCAGCAACCCATGCTTGTCTCACTTCGTGAAGACCCGGGGTAGAATAGGTCTTCAGCAACCCATGCTTGTCTCACTCCGTGAAGACCCGGGGTAGAATAGGTCTTCAGCAACCCATGCTTGTCTCACTCCGTGTAGACCCGGGGTAGAATAAGTCTTCAGCAACCCATGCTTGTCTCACTCCGTGAAGATCCGGGGTAGAATAGGTCTTCAGCAACCCATGCTTGTCTCACTCCGTGAAGACCCGGGGTAGAATAGGTCTTCAGCACCCATGCTTGCCGTAAAAGGCGACTATGCTTGTCATAAGAGGCGATCGGGATCGGGTGGTCAGGCTCCCCGACTTGGTTGATGCATGTCATCGTATCCCATTTGTGCTGATTGATGCTCATGATGTCAATCACTGGCTTGTCTGGTCCAGACTTGATTATTTACAGACCGCCGTCATATAGCTGGAATATTGCTGAGTGCGGCGTTAAATAACAAACACACATGATTGTGTGTTACTGTACCCTGAAGGTGTGGAATGGGTGGTTAGCCTTTATAGTAAGAAAGTTTGGCCAAGTCATGATGTAGGCTGTCTTGTTGTGCTGTTATGTCCCTTGACCCAAGCCACTGGAACTAAGGCCCTCTGTCCAGACCCTACGAAGGAGCCAAACAACACCTTCTGCAACAGCTTCTCTCAAGTCTGCACCATAGGGGTGAGTCACTGAACTGGGGAGGGTTGGAGTCACTGAACTGGGGAGGGGGTGGAGTCACTGAACTGGGGAGGGGGTGGAGTCACTGAACTGGGGAGGGGGTGGAGTCACTGAACTGGGGAGAGGGGTCACTGAACTGGGGAGTGGGTTGGGCCACTGAACTGGGGAAGGGGTTGAGTCACTGGACTGGGGAGGGGATGGAGTCACCGAACTGGGGAGAGGGGTCACTGAACTGGGGAAGGGGTTGGGTCACTGAACTGGGGAGGGGGTGGAGTCACTGAACTGGGGAGTGGGTTGGGTCACTGAACTGGGGAGTGGTTGGAGTCATTGAACTGGGGAGGGGGTGGAGTCACTGAACTGGGGAGAGGGGTCACTGAACTGGGGAGTGGGTGGAGTCATTGAACTGGGGAGGGGGTTGAGTCACTGAACTGGGGAGTGGGTTGAGTCACTGAACTGGGCAGGGGGTGGAGTCACCGAACTGGGGAGAGGGGTCACTGAACTGGGGAAGGGGTTGGGTCACTGAACTGGGGAGTGGGTTGAGTCACTGAACTGGGGAGTGGGTTGGGTCACTGAACTGGGGAGTGGGTTGGGTCACTGAACTGGGGAGGGGGTGGAGTCACTGAACTGGGGAGGGGGTGGAGTCACTGAACTGTGGAGGGGGTTGAGTCACTGAACTGGGGAGGGGGTGGAGTCGCTGAACTGGGGAGAGGTGTCACTGAACTGGGGAGTGGGTGGAGTCATTGCACTGGGGAGGGGGTTGAGTCACTGAACTGGGGAGAGGGGTCACTGAACTGTGGAGGGGGTGGAGTCACTGAACTGTGGAGGGGGTTGAGTCACTGAACTGGGGAAAGGGGTCACTGAACTGGGGAGTGGGTGGAGTCATTGAACTGTGGAGGGGGTTGAGTCACTGAACTGGGGAGAGGGGTCACTGAACTGGGGAAAGGGGTCACTGAACTGGGGAGTGGGTGGAGTCATTGAACTGTGGAGGGGGTTGAGTCACTGAACTGGGGAGAGGGGTCACTGAACTGGGGAGTGGGTGGAGTCACTGAACTGGGGAGAGGGGTCACTGAACTGGGGAGTGGGTGGAGTCACTGAACTGTGGAGGGGGTTGAGTCACTGAACTGGGGAGAGGGGTCACTGAACTGGGGAGTGGGAGGAGTTATTGAACTGTGGAGGGGGTGGAGTCACTGAACTGGGGAGTGGGTGGAGTCACTGAACTGTGGAGGGGGTTGAGTCACTGAACTGGGGAGTGGGTGGAGTCACTTAACTGGGGAGGGGGTTGAGTCACTGAACTGGGGAGTGGGGTGAGTCACTGAACTGAGGAGGGGGTGGAGTCATTGAACTGGGGAGGGGGTTGAGTCACTGAACTTGGGAGGGGGTGGAGTCACTGAACTGGGGAGGGGGTTGAGTCACTGAACTGGGGAGTGTGTGGGGTCACTGAACTGGGGATGGGGAGTCACTGACCTTGGGAGTGGCTGGAGTCACTGAACTGGGGAGGGGGTGGAGTCACTCAACTGGGGAGGGGGTTGGGTCACTGAACTGGAAAGTGGGTTGGGTCACTGAACTGGGGATGGGGAGTCACTGACCTTGGGAGTGGGTGGGGTCACTGAACTGAGGAGGGGTAAGTGAACTGCTGATTGGTGAGTCATTGAACTGAGAGGAGGGTGAGTCACTGAACTAGGGAGGGGGCTGTGAGTCACTTAACCATGGAGGGGGCGATTAACTGAACTGGGTGGGTGGAGTCTGGGAGAGACTGGTTGGGGATATGGTGGCAGGTGGCGGATTGGCAGGTTGGGGAGGGATGGGACAGACCCTGGAGGGGCAGGTCGGGGAGGGATAGCAATGTAGCCAATAATTGTTCTGATTAATTGTTTCTATTTGTACCTTTATTGTATTTCAGCATTATGTTGATCTATTATGAAGAATCTGTATTTGTTTTGTCCAGGAGTGCATCGGTTCTGTGTGCTCGAAGATAAGCTGGGAGGAGTGTTTCCTGACATCCGCTGCAGATGGGAATGGACCGTCACGAGAGGAGCTCTGCTTCGTCTCTTGTCGTAAGTACTGGACATTTTACCACAGAACAGATGGGAATGGACCGTCATGATCATATATGAGGTTGATCATATACATTGAAATATCATGGCAGAGTTGTGTCCCTTGGGCATGCCAGGAACCTATGGTCGTGGGTTCAAATCCTGGTTGGCACCATGACCAGGCTTTCCACCCACATAAGTGGAATACATTTGTATCTTGAATACTGTTCATAGTGGCGTTAAACCAAACTCACTCACTCAATCAATCAATCACTCACTTACTCACTCACTCACTCACTCATGTCGGGGTGGTAAAATGTTTTTTATTTGGGCTGAGAAATTTGGTTCAGAGCATGAAAATAAAGAAAACTACAGTGATCCCTCGCTACAACGAAACCTTTGGGGTCCAAATAATTGATGAGCGTTATAGATTTAACGAAGGTCGAGTCATAGGTGGTAGATGACCAAGAAAACAGTATACATGCTCTGCCTACCTAACACGATCAATGTTGCACCTTTCAGAAGTTATTTATGATTCATAGTGTAAAAAAAGAATTGATCGAGTATTATTCTGCGCTTTAATAACAAAAACCAACACATTGTATCCTTTCAGGTGAATAAGCAGGTAGATCTATAACAAACTTGGTCAATAAAAGTATGAAATTTGATATAAAACATCACTAGACATGTTAAAATGTATTTCCTGCTCTCAAAGGTATTGTTTTATATGCAGAGATTAAGATTACCGTGTGTATTTTCATGTAAACTAAGCCGGAAATAGCAATCAGCTGTCCACACATTTTCTCTCATTCTACCGGTGATTCAGTTAAAACGTACCCAGTGATACCACTTTAAAGAAATCTGATGCAATGGTCGGAAGAAATTGTATCTGAAATTTAATTTTATCAGTAATAATATTTTCCAATATGTCATTTTAGTTGCAGCTTCCACAATTTATACTTAAAATTATAAGAACGACAAGTATAGCACTTTGGTACAGATTGTATGCAGGATATTTTTTTACGTAAGGAACGATTTTGACCAGTCACTGTAGGGACTTCCCGCGCTGCATGTATTTCGATTGGGAAAATGTTATGTTGACATTTAATAGTCAAACTGTCTCAAATATGACTTTTAGCCAGTCATGGTACGGCATTTATGATATGTGTATCCATTCTCTTGCAACTAAAGTTCGTTTCAAGGCGTCAGTAGCGGTAATCTGACCGTGGTTGCTGTAAATAACGGTGAGTTGTGTGATCTACCGATCACTTCACATACGATTTCGCCGAAATTATTGTAAACATTATTATAATTTTGAATATAATCAAAAAAATAAATTCCAAACATTAGTCCAGACAAACAAAGAACTTTTTTTTTATTACCAGATATTATAATAATAGGATTTGTTGACTGGTATTTCCGGTGTTACGTGATCGCGGTGATCAGCTGATAATGTTTTATTGAAAATGTTAGTAAATTTTGGGAGCCATGCTCCGTATTGTCAGGCTTACATATTATATTATATTGTTATATTATATTATATTGTTACAAACACAAATTCATCAAAATACTTTTGAAAATAATCAGTCACAGATTTAGAGATATATTGAAACTAAAACTAACCAATCATCAGTCCACTCGTGAAGATTCGGGTTAGAATAGCTCTTCAGCAACCCATGCTTGTCGGAAAAGGCGACTGTGCTTGTCGTAAGAGGCGACTAACGGGATCGGGTGGTCAGGCTTAGTGACTTTGTTGATGCATGTCATCGTATCCCACTTGCATGGATTGATGCTCATGATATCAATTACTGGATTGTCTGGTCCAGACTTGATTATTTACAGACCGCCATCATATTGCTTGAATATTGCCGAGTGCGGCGTTAAACAAACAAACAAACAAACAAACAAACTTGCCTATGTCCCCCTCAAGTAGAACTTGTGTTGCAGGGAAAACAAGCACGTCTACCTGTGTGAGTTCCTACAACACAGCTGAGATCAACAAGCCAGAGAATAAAGAATTTTCAGATCTATTGAATGAAGTAAAAAAATTGAAAAACGCCACAAGTTCTTCTGTAACAGGCATCCAGCTTCCTGCAGGTATTTCATACTTCATCCCAGTGTGCATGTTGTAGTTTGTTATTCCCTATTGTATGGTGGCATGTAGTTTGTTATTCCCTATTGTATGGTGGCATGTAGTTTGTTATTCCCTATTGTATGGTGGCATGTGGTCCTGTGCACAGGTCACAGGTCACGGGTCACAAATCAGGTGAAGTTCAGCACCGTCTGTCACGGAGAGTACTTGGATGGGTGACTGTATTTGGCAGCCTGGCTCCTGAGAGTTTCTAGGGCTTAAGTCCTGCCCCACACTGAAGCACATGTAACGCGTGTGGCGTCTCCTTGGGCAAGTGACTTTGATCGAAATGTGCCTCTGTTCATCCAGTAATGAATGGGCAATGTGGTTGTTAACCTTCTAGCGCATGACAGGCAGCTTGTGCTGTATACTCCCCAAGGAGCTGAGAATGATTCTTCAGTGCACATTGATCCAGTGTCTGGGGTCATAATAGCGCTTTGAGCATGCCCCTGTGTGGTGTTGAAATATGCACTATATAAATAGCCTGTTATTATTAAAGTGGATAGAATTATAGTAAAAGTGCCCTCACACTATCAGAAATCTACGGGTCACGAAGGCCGTAGTTAACTTTTTTTGACAGGGGGGGCAAATAAGATTATTCATTTCTTATTGAAGTTAACTTTCACAAGGAATAATGTTTTCCTAAAAAAATCCGGGGGGGGAGGGGGGGGGGGGGGGGGCAACTGCCCACCCTGCTCCCCCGGCTGGCTACGGCACTGGTCACTGTAATGTGTATGCGTCATTATACCCCGCCGCGCGAAAGCGCGAAGCGGGGGATATAGTATTCACGACCGTCCGTACGTCCGTACGTCCGTCCGTACGTCCCACCTGTTTGTTGCCGCGATATCTCAAGAACTAAACACTGGATTGTCTTCATATTTGGAACTATGGTGTATATACAGACTCCGCAGACACCAGTCGGTTTTGGTGACCTTGATCCCATTTTCAAGGTCACAGCAGACAAATCTGCTTTTAGAGTTGGAAAACGGTGTTGCCGCGATATCTCAAGAACTAAACACTGGATTGTCTTCATATTTGGAACTATGGTGTATATACAGACTCCGCAGACACCAGTCGGTTTTGGTGACCTTGACCCCATTTTCAAGGTCACAGCAGGCAAATCTGCTTTTGGAGTTGGAAAACGGTGTTGCCGCGATATCTCAAGAACTAAACACTGGATTGTCTTCATATTTGGAACTATAGTGTATATACAGACTCCGCAGACACCAGTCGGTTTTGGTGACCTTGATCCCATTTTCAAGGTCACAGCAGGCAAATCTGCTTTTAGAGTTGGAAAACGGTGTTGCCGCGATATCTCAAGAACTAAACCTCTCGATTGTCTTCATATTTGGAACTATGGTGTATATACAGACACCGCAGACACCAGTCGGTTTTGGTGACCTTGACCCCATTTTCAAGGTCACAGCAGGCAAATCTGCTTTTGGAGTTAGAAAACGGTGTTGCCGCGATATCTCAAGAACTAATCGCTGGATTGTCTTCATATTTGGAACTATAGTGTATATACAGACACCGCATACACCTGTCAGATTTGGTGACCTTGACCCCATTTTCAAGGTCACAGCAGGCAAATCTGTTATTGGAGTTGGAAAACGGTGTTGCCACAATATCTCAAGAACTAATCGCTGGATTGTCTTCATATTTGGTACTATGGTGTATATGGCGGGGGATATTTCGTCACTCTGTGACAAATACTTGTTTTTCTTGTTTCTGGTGTCATCCTACATTAGGTTCGATGACGTTGCTATTTTGTGAATCAGTGACTGTGAGGTTTTATGAAGCCACTAAACTTATGCTGCTTTTAGTTGTTTTGATTAGCTACAAATTCTATCCATTCTATTTATAACAAAGGGAACTATTTACCTTTTTTCACTGCCTTATCATTTGCAGAATCCCTCGGCCTTCACTGGGTAGTTTGTGGCAGACTTGGGTTTTTGCAAGTGATAATGCCCTGATAAATAATATTACCCTCATATTCTCACATGTATGCTGGTTTGTTATTCCCTATTCACACATGTATCCTGGTCTGTTATTCTCTATTCACACATGTATGCTGGTCTGTTATTCTCTATTCACACATGTATGCTGGTTTGTATTCCCTATTCACACATGTATCCTGGTCTGTTATTCTCTATTCACGCATGTATGCTGGTCTGTTATTCCCTATTCACACATGTATGCTGGTCTGTTATTCCCTATTCGCACATGTAAACTAGTTTGTTATTCTTTGTTCACACATGCATGCTGGTTTGTTATTCCCTATTCGCACATGTATGTTGGTCTGTTATTCTCTATTCACACATGCATGCTGGTTTGTTATTCTCTATTCACACATGTATGTTGGTCTGTTATTCTCTATTCACACATGTATGCTGGTCTGTTATTCCCTATTCACACCTGATGCTGGTCTGTTATTCCCTATTCACACATGTATACTAGTTTGTTATTCCTTGTTCACACATGTTGCTGGTCTGTCATTCCTTGTTCACACATGTATGCTGGTCTGTTATTCTCTATTCACACATGTATGTTGGTATGTTATTCTCTATTCACACATGTATGCTGGTCTGTTATTCTCTATTCACACATGTATGCTGGTCTGCTATTCCCTATTCACACATGTATGCAAGTCTGTTATTCCCTATTCACACATGTATACTAGTTTGTTATTCTCTATTCACACATGTATGCTGGTCTGTCATATCTTGTTCACACATGTTGCCGGTCTGTGTTGCAGGGTCTCCTTGTGATAACTTCCGTGGCTACTGCGACGTGTTCCACCGATGTCGCGGTGTTGATGCTGACGGCCCCCTGGCTCGACTGAAGAACCTCATCTTCAACCCTGAGACTCTGCAGTCTATCAAAGATTGGATAGTGGTAAGTCGAAATATACTCACACGCAAAAGAAACGCAAGTTGAGTATGCAGTATACGTGTTATTTATTTTCAACAGTAAAGACAAGAAATACTAATAGGGCAAGATTGACAAAAATTTGACTGAAGACAGTTTAATGGATTAAAAGGCAGATGACATAATTGGTTTTTTTCAAATGTTAAGGGCTTACACAGTTTCGGGTCAATACCCAAAATGTCAGTCAATACCTGGTGTGACCACCATTAGCATTGATCACTGCCACACATCTCCTGTACATTGAGTGGATCAGATGATTTGTGAAGGCCCTAGGGATCCCCCTGCACACATCCAGAGCAGCTGTGCGTAGTTCATCGGCAGTTGTAGGGACTGGGCGCACATTGTGCAGAGGCCTTTGAACCTCATCCCACAAGTGTTCGATGGGGTTCAGATCAGGGCTGAGGGCTGGCCACGGTAGAACACGGATGTTGTGTTGTTGCAGAAAGGCCATGGTAGCTCAGGCAACAAGGGGACGAGCGTTGTCCTGCTGGAAAATGTGTTGTTGATGTTGTGCAAAAAATGGAACAACGTTTGGTCTGATCACTTGGTTGATATACCGCTGAGCAGTGATGCCGTGTCCCCAACCTTGAACAACATTCAGAAAGCACATGGGTCCAAGTCTCGCATTAAGTCCAATCCCTGCCCATATCATGACGCTAGGTCCCCCCCATGAATCCCCTTCCACAACGTTACTGTCAGCGAAACGATCACCTTGACGCCGCCAAATTCTGACTCTTCTGTCTGCATGGGAGACACAAAAGCGACTTTCATCAGAGAAGATGACACGCCTCCACTCACGATGACTCCAATTGCGGTGACCCTGTGCCCACTGAAGTTGTGCTTGTCGATGCCGTGTGTTATATGCACCCTTAATTATGGGCAATTAAATTCTGGAAAAATATATCTGTCATACATAAACATTTCAGGCTGTCAGCGTAGACCCTGAAATATATTTTTCACCAAAATAATATTCCAATAAGAGCCCCCTTTTTCTAATTTTGAGAGCGCCCTGGGTGCTTATTACTTGAATACGGTAAGTGCCTTTGGCAGGTAACATAGGAGAAAATTGTAATAGTGTTTAAAATTGGATTTTGTTTATGTTCTGATTTTCTTATATCCTGAGGATTGGATTCAATTTTGGAATTTTTACTGGGTCTTTTCTCTGTTTCTTGAACTCATGACCTTGACCTTTTCTCTGTTTCTTGAACTCATGACCTTGACCTTCAGGTGAACTGGTGGGCGGTGATGTTGATGGGCATTGGCCTGGTAGTGGTCATGGGAGTGTTCATCAAGGTCTGTGCTGTCCACACACCCAGCAGCAATCCCCGGAAACCACCAGCCAGGAAGCTGACGTTACCACGACGACACGGTAACCAGGGAAACAAACCACAAGCCCGCTCAGTACCTGTACATGTAAGTCATGTTTGATAGACACTTCTACAAAGAGTGAATGAGTTTGTACAATTTTGGTGAAACATGAATAAGGTAGGACACACCAAGAATTATATTCAGAGTAAATCTGAGATTCAACCCCAAGACAGGGTATCCTTGTGAAGATAAGGGATGCAATTCTATCAGCTAAACAGGTGCTTGGATTGTTTTGCAGACCGTTTGAAACCTGAAAGTTGCTTTAGGATTTACTTTAACATATTTGGGAATGGTTTTGAATTTTAGAACTTGCATGGGATGAAGGCCTGAAAATAGCTGAATCCGTTCTCGTAACTTAGTTATTTGTGAATGAGCAATGTTTAATATGAGCTCCTTCAAGATCCTGCCATGGAGATTCCAGGTTGTAACAGGTCCCCAGCAATCCATGCTTGTCTCCCCATGGCGATTCCAGGTTGTAACAGGTCCGCAGTAACATATTGCTTGTCTCCCCCTGGGGATTCCAGGTCAGAACAGGTCCCCAATAACGTATTGCTTGTCTCCCCCTGGGGATTCTAGGTTAGAACAGGTCCCCAATAACGTATTGCTTGTCTCCCCCTGGGGATTCTAGGTTAGAACAGGTCCCCAATAACGTATTGCTTGTCTCCCCCTGGGGATTCTAGGTTAGAACAGGTCCCCAGTAATCCATGCTTGTCTCTCCATATGGGATTCCAGGTTAGAACAGGTCCCCAATACCGTATTGCTTGTCTCCCCCTGGGGATTCCAGGTTAGAACAGGTCCCCAGCAATCCATGCTTGTCTCCCCATGGCGATTCCAGGTTAGAAAAGGTCCCCAGCAATCCATGCTTGTCTCCCCATGGCGATTCCAGGTTAGAACAGGTCCCCAGCAATCCATGCTTGTCTCCCCATGGCGATTCCAGGTTAGAACAGGTCTGCAGTAATGTATTGCTTGTTGTATTACAGTAAGAGGCGACAAAGTGGATCAGGTTACTTACGGCTACTTTCCCTGATTGTGTGTCATTACCCTGATAAGTCATATAAACACACATTACACCCCAATTGCCCATAATATCAATCTCTTGTTTATCTGGTGCAGTCTTGGTTATTTAAGGGGGCACGGGTGGCCCAGTCGTCTAAGGCGCCGCGATTCACTGTGCAGAGTTGCGTCCCTTGGGCATGCCAGAAACCTATGATTGTGGGTTCGAATCCCGGTTCGCCCAGATTATGTTTCTAGGTTTGTCAGCACCATACCTGTGCTCGTGGGTTTCACCAAAGTGGTAAACGTCTGAGACCTGCATCACTTCGGGCTTTCCTCCCACATTAAGTTGACACGCCGTGATATGACTGGAATACTGTTAAAAGTGGCTTTAAACCAAACTCACTCACTCACTTGGTTATTTACAGACTGCCTTCATATAGTGCTGAGTGCAGCTTTAAAGCAACTATCAAATAATACCTTCAATATCTACATGTGTTTGCTCTTGTAGGCTTCTCAGAAAGGGTCACTGTGTGAAATGTTTGATCATTCAAGTCATGTATTTACTAGACCTGGCTAAAAAGATTGATGATCGAACTTCGATGGTCGATGAGAATAAATATAGATGAGAATCGATATGAAAATTGTGTCATTGATAATGTCTTACACAAACTTTTCTAATGAAACAAAGTTTTACGTTACCGAAGCAGAGTTGTGTTTGTCCACTGCCAAAGACGGAAACAACTGATTTTGTTGATACACAAATGTAATGTAAATGTCCACAAAGTAATCCATGCATGAATGTGTCACCACTCACCAGTGACGTGTAATATGTTTTGTCTCTGAGCTTTTTGTATATTTGCTGAAAGTTGCTGATAATCCGTTAACGTTTATCGATCTCTAAGATCTCTATCGATAGCCAGCACTGGTATGTACTGCTACCTCACTGTGAAACTTGCTGACCCCCCTTTCTGTGTCTCTGCAGGATCCTCCACCCCCCTACAGCAGTGCAGCCCATGGAGGTCCCCCACCCCCCGGGCACGGCAAGAATCATCATCGTCATAACAACAATAAACAGGGTGCAAAAAATAGCCGGCCAGCAAGATACGAGATGCAACCCCGTGCATAGTCAGTACCGAACATTCTACTAGTACAGAGTTGGGGCTCAGCAATCACTGGGACCTGAATCTGTATATACATCCAATCCAACACAGAGCACCCCAGCTAATAAGGGGGGATAACCATGCAATGAAACTCTCTACAGGAACCATACAATACATGTCAGGAATTCTTCTGATTTATCAAATTGTTTCAAATTTTAGAATATATTTTTTTTAATTCATTGACATGAGAACAATGATACAGCAATTACAGCTCCAGTCTGGTGTAAGTGTTTCAGATACGCCAAGGCAGCTAGGTGATATAGAACTGTATCCCGTCGTGTTGGATACCTCATGTAAACCACACAAGTCCCTGTACCATGCTAGTCAATCTCATTAAAATCAGATCTTAGTTTTCGCTTCCTCTAAACAAAGATCTGAGGACATACCATTACAAGTCACGTCTGTGACCTTTGGCAAACTTTGACCAACCAATGGAATAACTGACAAGAAGCGGCATTAACCAATCAGAAGGCAGCTTTCTTGTGCTTTACGGCAGTAGTGTCATACTGGCGACTCCAATACAAAACATATTTTGACAAATTCTCGATTAAAAACTTGAAAACTGAACATTCTGGAATGGCTAATCGATGGCCCAGATTGTATGGATTCAGTCGAAATGCTGTAACTGTCACCTGATTTTGGGGGGTTTGTATGATTAGAAAACTCATCCCCACTCTCACTTTCCTGATCTGGTAACAAGGCTCTGATTGGTCGGATGAAAGGTCGTTCTGACGTGGCCCGTAATGGGATGTCCTCAGATCTTTGTTCAGCTTCAGCTAGAACTAAGATCCAATTTTAATGAGATTGCATGCTAGTGGACAGAGCAGTTACTGTATAACTCTCGTATCACACGTACCATCTGCCACAGTGAGTTTCATCGCATCACATATTTTGCTACAATTGTACCAGTATGTTTGTATTGTGCCGTGTGGCGGTGACTAGTTCATCCGTTCTCACCTGACGTTTCTGTTCCAGTGCGGGAGTTCCCTGCTATGATGCAGACCAGTACTACAGGTGATGTTGTTACTATAGCAACATGTACTTTATCATCATAACATGTACTCCCATACCTAGAAATCTAACCCCAGAAAATGCTTCTTTTTTTCATGCAAACTTATCCATTGAACTGAGAATCAACTTTAAATTCGTTTTCATCCTGAATTCTCTTTGTGATAAGTTTATGTTGCATTTTGATAAGCTTTGTTGCAGAAAGAGATTATTCTAGTAAAATAATGTGATTTTGAAAAGTATGTTTGAAATTTATTTTCGTGAAAAAATTAAATTTTGCAGATTAGTCAGTGATATAGATGTATTTGAACCTGGGCCATATCATCTACTGGTGTGCGGTTTCAGGGTGGCCGGATGATGCCTTGTACTGATTGGTTGCGTGTCCTGTCAATCAAATGTTCATGTCATTTTCAAAGTAGTAGGTATCAGGCAATCTTTGACCTATATTTTATACCAGTCGTTTCAGTGAAGAACAGAGATAAGGTGAAATGTTACAAAAGTTAAATGATCAACTTGAAATATTTGTGTATATTTTCATTGAGGTATTGTAATATTCATGTTTTTTATTATATATACATATATATATATATGCATAGATTGAGGAAATTAATTTATTAGCTTCGTGTATTATAGACCTAGTGACTCACAAAGCATTAGTCTTTTGTAGACTTTTTAAAAAACAATTATTTTATTCAATAAAGTGAGTCTGAGAAGATGATTTGGTTGCAGTGCTGTAACTGAGTCACTTTATGCTACCACAATTTCCATTGGCTGATACTGGTTGCAGTGCTGTGATTGACAGATGGTTCAGCATTCCCATTGGTTACTAACACAGCCAATCACTGCTTTGCATGGTTCCTGTAGAATGCTGCTGTAATTATTGAGAAAACTTAAATTGTCATTTTTGCTAGTAGTTTTCTTTGTTTATAGCCAGTTTTTCCTGATTTTAATGCATCAGCATTCTTGATCCTATGTGTAGATGGATTCTTTATATATACGCAGACCATCTAGTCACTACTATGAACCATCTTATATACCAACTATCTTCATTTGCCTTATGTTAAGTAATCCTCAGACACATGATTGCTTGTTATCACACAACAGTAAACACAGGATATACGGTAATTTCTGCATGGGAGAGACTTGTCATTGACTGTCATTTTCATAAATTGTTACAGTATTTAGCTTTTGTTGGGTTTAAAAAGAAATACCATCTATGTATCTGTATGACATATATGCCTGGAAATTGTTGAGCACCATCACCCTATTTTTTTATATACTGTTGTACAATCCAGTGATTGATATCATGAGCATCAATCTACACAATTGGGATTTGATGACATTCATCAACCAAGTCAGCAAGCCTGACCGCCGATCTTGTTAGTCCCCTTGCATAGTCACCTGTTCCGGCAAGCATGGGTTGCTGTAAACCTATTCTAACCCATATCTTCATCTCCTGGGTCCTTTATGCTAAGACTAACATCTGCCGACAAAATGCCCTAATACAATTTCGGGCTAGTAGGATCAAATGTTTTTGGAGTGGGCTTAGGCGGTGCTTAACTTTTTTCCAGGGGTATGTGTGCTCAGTTGGAAGGCGAAGAAGATGATTCTATGCTTCCATCATATTTCATAAACAATCACATTTTTTGAAGGTTTTCAGTTTCAGACTGTTGAGTTCATCTAAGGGATTATTGTTTTGAAGTTTTCACAGAACATTTCAAGTGACTTGGAAGGTGTTGAATTGATCAGATGTGTCTGTTTTTCTGTGGAGTCAATGTTACAGGCAATACGACATGCTTACTGATAATTGGGAAAATGACATGGCAAGTGGATAATGGATTATATAACATGATCAGTGTGAGATGGTAATGATTAATCAAGGGCGTTATGACTGGGTTGAGTCAGGCTTACGAAAAGCGTTATTCAGGGGTACTTCATTAATAAATCAATTTTAAGAAATCGCTTGTATAGAAAAGAAAAAAATCAGTTCTAATTGGTTATGAAATTTTATTCATTTTGATTTAATTTGGATCTATAACAATGGCTCCTCTAGGTCACGATGAGGGATATATCCCAGGTTTATTGTATTGTGTGATGAATTATGTACCACATAGTGACGACACAAGCCTATTGCTGCCCTCTTGGGTACAGAGTGTTTTATACTGTCCTTTCTATGTTGACCCTTTCTTGTACATACTCCACTACCACTAGGGGGTTGGCGCAAGACGGTGATACGAGACGTATCCCATCCTTTTATACCTACTGTATCACACCCCTAGTTATGCCCCTACCATCTCAGTGTATCTTATCTCATTTGTATATAATATGATCTTGATTTGAATGTTTTGAAGACATGTAATTTATTTCATTGTTCTTAAATTCTTCCTTGAGTGTTTGTCCCTGGTCACTGCTGGACACAGCTCACACAAATGTGAGATCTGGAATCCACAGCTGTGTGCTTCAAGTTTAAGTATTGACCTTTTGACCTGCATTCAGGATGTTGGAGAGAAGGTCAACGAAGGCCAAGGTCATTTATATGTAACTCCCACATCTGTCTTGACTCTTCTAATTTGCAGCCGGTCTGGCAAGCAACAAGCTCATGTTATATGATATATATCACAGAAACAAGCATAAGGTGACACATGACTGGCTCATTTGTAAGCGTTTTTATGACCTATGAACTCTTGACCTTTTACCTTTTCAAAGGTTTATTTCTATTGGCTGCTGGCATCGGTTATCCGTGAAGAAAGGTTGTGGGCCCCGGTTGCTTTTCGACTCTCACAAATGTATCATAATTCCTCGTATAGGAACCTTTTGTTTCTTGGTCTTAACAAGGCCTCTATTCAAAACCAGCCCTTATTTATGGTCAGCTTGTTTTGTTTTCAAGTGCTGGTGCATGGGTGGCCCAGTCATTTCAGTCCCGGAAATTGGGTCCGCAACATAGTTTCTAGTCCTCGTCTTGGATATTGGAGACTGCTTTGTTTATCTTATTGGAGATATTGTATCTTCCCCATATGATTGTAAGGCCACAATGCTGCTACTTGAAATAATGATAACTATACATAGGGACCTTCTCCTACAATGCCCTTATGCTGAGACAATTATTTACCAATGTTCGCGCAGTAACAATACAGTGTGTCACAATATGTTGCGTTACCATACCCTTGAATATTTGGGACAGTGTCAGGGCATGTTTATTAAACTGCCCTTTTTTAGAAACTTTCGTTTTACAACTGACTTCATATTATGTAACATGGCCATGTTATACACCATCCTCGTTAATCCTGGGTATTATGTCGCCATGCTATTATTGTAACTACTCTGGACCCATTCATCACTATGTTGCTTTGTTGGGACAGGTCATTATCCCTTTGCTCTTATCTCTAACTTGGCACAGAATGTCACTTGCTCATGCGTGTCATTTGATTGGATGGCTATTTATAGGGCAATGTCTCTTCATTAAGGCTCAAAATGAACCTATGGTGGTGAATGGGTCGAGTGTATTTGTTTTAGGAAATGAATATGGAAATGCAGGGGAACCGAGGGTGTGTTATAAGTGACATATTGTTTTGTGTCAGGACACGATTCACTACTGTAGTGTGGCAACACTTGTATTGTTACAGCTCTTACCATTATCATGTTGACAGCCAACAAGACTTGGATACTGTACAACTGGGAAGGGAGACAACTCTGTATGCACAGCAGTCTTCCATCTTGTCTCCAGTATTAAACGTTTCTGTCTCACTTTTCACTCTGCTCAGCAGTTACCTCCCTTATATACAATGAAGCTGCCCACCATTACACAAGGGTATGTTGAGAAGTGGTTTTAGAAAACTCTGTTAGATGTTCATTTTCCTATGATGAGACAGAGGACAAGCTAGAAATGTTGTGTCCATATTTGGTATGTAGCATTTCATAATGTGTCTACCCAGTGTGCTTGTTTTACTCAAGTTCCCACTGACAATATTTCACTTTGCTTTCTTTTCTGAAACTACCTTGACTTAAGGGAGGTAACTTGGTGTCATGTATTCACCACCAAAGAAGTGTTTTCGTTTCATTCATATTTTATCTTTTCACTTTTAATACCCAGGATCTCATTCCACCAACCAGTCTTGATGCTGCGACAATGACCCATGTCGTTATCTATGTTAAAGAGTGACTAAAATGACAGCCTCAGAAAGCTTCAAACCAAATTGTGTCCGCTATATTAATTTTATAATGATCATTGCTATAACTGTCAATTATTACCCAAAGTGTGTCAGTTTCTCAATTAATTTCATGGTGGGACCTTGGATTTTTCTAAGAGACAGAATATTTCTTCAGATACAACTTCAAGGCCATCTGTTTTTTAAACATCCAGAATGTCCAACGAACAATTTATTTTCAAGTAAAAACCTCAGGTAAAATATTTCTTTTTCAAAGAGGCCCAACCCAGAATATAAAACAGCTCTCTTACAGTGTAAGACCATGGAGGAAGGGCCCCCACTAGCATGGGACCCTGTCGTAGTACAAGATTGGTGGGGACGAGAGTCCTGATTACTTTTAGTTTGCCTTTGTTCAGAGAGAATATATCCTGTGTGGTCACTTCTTTGTTGTATTATCCAGGTTGATGAGGCGCACATACTGTAGTATTTCCCTTTTTGTATGATGCTAAATTACCACCAATCGCTTGCTTTTACCTTGCAGAACAGCATTGATGCTTCATTAATTGAAATAAGTATAAAACCTGCAAGCCAAACTGTTCAAATTTTAGTTTGGTGTAAGGGAGATAACTCTGTTTATTTTGAGATTGAGCTGTGAGAGGTGTTGTATATTTTCTGATCAGATGAGATTCATGTCTAGTGTATCATTGTCATTCTTTATGGAGAAGAATAAATGTTTTTTATACAAACAATGTGTTGGATTGTCGATGTAAACTGACGAGCTCCTGTTAAGAGGCGGCAGAATTGTCTTGTTCAGACTTGGTTGAATGCATGCCATTCTTCTGGACGGTGATGGCGATCTCTACACGCAGGTATGCACAAACATGCACACCCTGTGAACACACACACAGTCGTGGCTGTACATTCAAACAACATAATATATTACACATTAATACTGTCCCACACTGTGTGGTTTTTCGTTTCATACCTCAATGAACCGAAACAAATCCACTTTCAATCCTTATTATCCCCCACCCAACAAAGTTGGCAGGGGATATAGAAACGGGCTCTGTCCGTCCGTCAGTCCGTCATGTTTCGTTTGCAGAGCACAACTCAGAAACTGTTCAATGTTTTTTCATCAAACTCTGCAGGTCTGTCAGGTACATGCTGAACTGGCGCCTTTTGCTATTTATAAATTTTAGAATTTTTTATCTTTTACGTTTCCATGGCAACAAGATGGACTTAGGTTCCAAACTTTTCTTTTTTTTACAATTTCCATGACAAGTTCCACCTCGATTAAAAAAGGTTAGGGTTTGTTTAGATTTAATTATGTCATAAATTCTGCAACAGGGGCGGGGGATATAGCCATGTTAGTGGCAAACTCTTGTTAAATTTGAACACATGTACAGTTGTTTAACCAAACAGTTGTACATATCAAAGTGGACAAAAATGACAAAATTCATATACTGTTCACAGGGGTGCTAAAGCCGACTAAAGCTCTCTCTGTGGGGTCTGTACATAGTCATTCGAAAGCGAGGAGGTTGGGGAGTCCTCAAGACAGAAAGGAGAAAGTTTTTCCTGGACAACCAGCATATCAGCTAACAATCCCAGAGGCAAACAAATTTCCAAACAGATCCAGAAAGCCCAATCACAAATAACATGGTCTTTCCCTTATAAAACACTCCAAATGTAGGGACGACGGACTGTCCTTCACCTTCCTCAAAACAGATCTGATTCTGAGGATGGAAGCGGCAATGACAGCCAGCTCTCGCTCTCTGCTTCAGTTTTACTTTGCCAAAGCAAATATCTATCAGCGCCTTGTGATGTGAATATGTATATTTATTCACACTTTGGCAAACCAAGTCACGTGACAAGAAATATCTATTAGCGCCATGTGATATGAATATTTATTCTCAGTATGGTTTCTAAGCGAGTTGACAGACATTTGTACTCAGCATAGGTGTAACAAGAGTAGTCTTTAAAAGGGCATACTTGGTGTCTTGTTTAGCCTGCTGATGTGTAGTATTACACACTTGTTCCTGAAAGTAGGTATATTCTGTTGCTCATGCGAAAAAGGTTGAACAAAATTATGCTTCATATTGTTGGAAATTGCCACATAAATTACATTGTTGCAATGGACCCGTGAAGATCCGGGGTAGAATAGCTATATGGCGGCGGTCTGTAAGTAATCGAGTGTGGACCAGACAATCCAGTGATTGACATCATGAGCATCGATCTACGCAACTTGGATACGACGACATACATCAACCAAGTCATCGAGCCTGACCACCCGATCCCGTTAGTCGCCTCTTACAACAAGCATAGTCGCCTTTTAGGACAAGCATGGGTTGCTGAAGACCTATTCTACCCCGGATCTTCACGGATCGCAGGTGACTTTGTAACAGACCCACAAGGCACGATACACTGCTGACTTAAAATATAATCGGTATATATTCTGATATGGTGACCATCTTTAAATGCCTTAACCTTTATGATAAACTGCCCTCACGAAACTAACTGAAATTTTCAAAGATGAAACCAGTTACACCAATTGGATTTGAAGTAACATATTCACACCAGAGACAACTTGCAGGTTATGTATCGTGACAACAAAAGCGCTGCGACTGACAACAGTGTTCACTGATGCAGGGCATGTGCCTACAATGTGACCTGCATGCGTGACACCTCACATGCATGTGTAAACGAGTCCGTGGTGGAGAAGGATGACGGAGCTGTTGCTGTTGTTCCTGTGTGCGGTGTTGGTGTTGTGTGTGGTGATCAGTGTGAGGGGTGGTCCTGTCCCCCCTGTCCTGTACTATAGGAAGTCCAGTCAATTTGTGGCCGGACTCCTCACGGCGTGTCCAATCTTCCTCCAACCGTAAGTTAAACTCGCGCACCTGTTGCTGCACATTGCGAAAAGTACGTAAATCTAACCGGTAACGTTCATACGTATTTTATGAAATGTGAACTTATATTTTCATGTTTAATGTACGTTAAAAGTATAAGTGTAAGTTGTAAGTATCTTGTCACATCTAAATAATGTGACCGTATGGATTACCATAGCTTAACACCGCTTTAACAATCTGTGGCCTTTTCTGGGATAAGTGATCAGTATTTCAGTTTTATCTCGGCGTGTCAGCTTGACGTGGGAGGAAAGACCGAAGTGATGCAGGTTCAAAACGTTTACTACTTCGGTGTACCCATGATCACAGGTGTGGTTCTGACAAATCTAGAAACATAATCGGGATGAACTTAGATTCGAACTCACGAACAAAGGCTTAGGACGTGCCCATGGGACGCAACTCTGCACAGCGAATTGCGGCGCCTCAGACGACTACCCTCGCCCTAACCCCCGGGTCCGTGTTTCCCCTCACTTCCCTGTAGGGGACCAACGAAAAAATATTTTTTGCTGCTTTTCTATAACATTTAAAAAAACAAACTTCTGGGCTCTGCGGCACCCTGTATTTTGATTTAGAACAAGGGATACAAAATTAAAAAATAAAATAAAATATAAAATAACATAAAAAATGCGATTTTAAACAAAATAAAAAAGAAGTTACGTCGTCATTGAGTGAGTGAGTGAGTTGGGTTTAACGCCGCTTTTAACCGTATTCCAGTTATATCACGGCGTGTCAGCTTAATGTGGGAGGAAAGCCAGAAGTGATGCATGTCTCAGGCGTTTACCACTTCGCTGAAACCCACGAGCACGGGTATGGTTCTGACAAACCTAGAAACATAATTGGGGCGAACCGGGATTCGAACCCACAATCATAGGTTTCTGGCGTGCCCAAGGGACGCAACTCTGCACAGTGAATCGCGGCGCCTTAGACGACACGTCGGCATTGAAATAACCATATGTCATTTCCTTGTTTGGCAGAGAAACGTATCCCGATAGTCAGAATAGTTTTTACTGGTTTCAGGTACACGCCCACTCGCCTGTGGGGTCGAAGTGGCCACGTCCAGACTATAGTGTACAGCAAGATAGAGCGGCTGTATCACCCGAACCTTGACGGGAGACGCCATGAACGTGTCCTGCCTGACGGCGCGACGTCAACGTTTGACGTGTACGAAGTTGCACGCGAACACCCGTCTGGAGGTGACTGCCGCAAATAGCGGAAACTCTGTACAGAATAAGGGACCTGTTTATAGAATATTGTATTGGGGACAGGTCGCCCAAGATGGGCGTTGATTGGCCGGTGATCAGTTAGGCCACGCCTCATTGCATTTCAGGGGCAGTCGGGTAGCCTAGTGGTTAAAGCGTTCACTCGTCACGCCGAAGACCCGGGTTCGATTCCCGACATGGGTACATAGTGCGAAGCCCATTTCTGGTGTCCCCCGCTGTGATATTGCTGGAATATTGCTAAAAGCGGCTCTACAAACCATACTCACTCACTCACTCATTGCATTTCAACAGACCGATACCAAGAGCCATGCATTTTCATAATATAAAGTGCAATACAGTATGGGTTTTTTATGTTTATGTTTAATTACCTGACTGCTCTATGTTAATTTGAAAACACCTAGATACAGAGTTACTTCATAAATACAGATTGACAAGAGTTCTTACATGCATTGTATGAGGCATGTAGCTACTGCAAACAGCTTAGTAAGAAAACACAACCTTCTCTGAGTAGATAAGTAGATACATATGAAAGAAGTGTCCTATGTTTGATAGAGTGGCCCGTGTTTCATGTAGCGTCCCGTGTTTAATGTAGGCGACTACTCCATGTTGGTTTGCCCCGGTATCGCCAACAGCAGCGAAAACCCCTACATCCGGACCTTCGCCGACGCGGCTGTGAGAGGTGGCTACAGGGTGGCGGTGCTTAATCATCTCGGCGTTCTGGCCGACCAGAAACTCACATCACCTCGGGTCTTTGATTATGGTGAGTTCGGGAAGGGGTGGGGGTGGGTTGGGGAGCTGAGGTGTGGGTTTGGGGTGGGTGGAAGTGTGCGTGTGTGTGAAGGGGGGGGGGGGGGGGGGGAGAGTCTCTTCCCTGCATATTATGTAAAATTGTGTACCTTTGCATGAGCATTTATATAATTAAATACAAGGATGCTCATGATGTCGATCACTGTTAACAAGAGTTTCTTCCCTATACTGTTAACAAAAGTAACCTCCCCTTCTTCCCTGGTCTGTTAATGAGAGTTGTCTCCCCTTTCCCCACCTACACTGTTATCGAGAGTTGCCTCCCCTGCAGGAAGTACTCAGGAGTTCCATCACATGGTGGAGGACATGAGAAAGATCTATCCAAACAGCAGCTTCCTGGCCGTCGGCTTCAGCATGGGCGCCAACATCATCACCAAGTATCTCGGGGAGCACCCTGACCACCAGAAACACTTCATCTGTGGGATGTCCCTGTGTCAGGGATACGACATTGCCAGGTGGGTCACTTGACATTATGGCTTTTATCGACCAGTGATAATATATTTGATACAAAAAACACCATATCCTGCATTATCCAGTTGGTGGCCAAGTCGTTGGTAGCGCCGTAAGTCGCTGTGCAGAGTTGCGTCCCTTCTGTTGAATAAGTCACTTATAGCGTCACTGTTTTGTTTTGTTTGTTTGTTTGTTGTTTAACGCCGCACTCAGCAATATTCCAGCTATATGACTGCGGTCTGTAAATATTCGAGTCTTGAGCAGACAATCCAGTTATTGATATCATGATCATCGATCTTGGGATCATCGCAATTGGGATACTCGAAAGGCCAATGATATAACAAAGATTTCTTTGCGTTTGCCCTAGCTGAATATTAAATAAAAGAGACATAACCATTTCAGTGGAATCCTCTGCTTTAAGAAGAGGCCGTTATACGATTCCGACTATATCCTCAGCATTCGCCCTTATTATGTGTCTGGGGGCACGGGTGGCCCAGCGGTCTAAGGCGCCGCGATTCGCTGTGCAGAGTTGCGTCCCTTGGACACGCCAGAAACCTATGATTGTGGGTTCGAATCCCGGTTCACCCCGATTATGTTTCTAGGTTTGTCAGCACCATACCCGTGCTCGAGGGTTTCACCGAAGTGGTAAACCTCCGAGACCTGCATCACTTCGGGCTTTCCTCCCACATTAAGCTGACACGCCGCGATATAACTGGAATATTGTTAAAAACGGCGTTAAACCCAACTCCCTCACTATTATGTGTCGTGGCTTGTCAGCACCGAACTCGTGGCTTTCATGACAGCGGTAAACGTCTAACCCCGTCCACGTGCACAACATTTACTCAAATAAGTAATTTTACACATAAGTTACTATACATACATGTGTATATGTAAATTTACAATGCGCACACGTGAAACGTAACTAATACCCCGTTCACATGCGCCTCAAAACATATGTGTGTATTGCAACATATACGCACAGTGCCAATTTACATTAAAATTTACATTTGCACCTGCTCCAGACATGATGCAAATTTGCTCCTGGTGTAAATATACACACATGAGTAAACACGTTCACATGACAAGTATTCTCACGTGTGCATTTCTTAGCACGTATGCACATATACACAAATGTGTATAGAAGCGCATGCGAACAATGTACTAGGTGTGTAAATAAGTATGGTAGAATAGGTCTTCAGCAACCAATGCTTGTCGTAATAGGCGACTATGCTTGTCGTAATAGGCGACTATGCTTGTTGAGAGGCGCGTGGTCAGCGAGCCTCTGCATGACTTTCAACATAAAAAAGTTGTTTTCCGTCAAAGACAAATGAAAAGAGCGCCCCCTCACAAACTGTGTGCGTCTTTCGTGCGTTTTTCAAAGGAAAGGTTGATTTGAAGGAAAGGTAAAATTGTTTGGAAAAATTAAATGCATTCGATGATGACAGGGAAAAGTATGAAATTTTCGAATGAAGCAACATGTATTGGATTCGATCTGTACTCAACATTTTGACTTCTTGAAACCAAAAGAAAACACTGTACGCCGTCCCTGGATGTCCCATTGACGTTTGAACTGCTTTATCTGAAATAACGTTAACTTGAGAATACAGAATTGTTGTTTGATGTTGAGGTGAGGTGAAATGGGGTTAACGTCGCGTTCAAGATTATTGCACTTATATATATAGTGTGTGTATGGCTGCTTGTACTAGTCCGGACTGATGCCAATTTATAGTGCTAGCCCACTGAGATACCATGCCGCAGTTTAACCATCTTCCCGAGGCAAGAGAGTTAACTGACTTTAAAAGTCCAGTTTCCACTTATAGTCAGTTAACTCACTTGCCTCGAGAAGATGCAGTTTAACATGAATACCCCACTCAGACTCAGTATAGTGACTCCGAGCCGACCAGTCCTTGTTATATCCGCTTAATGCCGAGCGCCAGGCAGGGTAACAACAAGTACCATCTTTTAACGTCTTTTGGTATGACGCGGCCGGGGATTGAACCACCAACCTTCCGCTCTCCGGGCGAACGCTCTACCACTAGACCACGGAGGCGGTCACACACTGTTGAAAGCGTCATAAAAACATTTAAACCATTCTTTCCCTGTCTAGTTTCAACAAATGCTTGGAGCGTTCCGCATTGATGCGGCTCTACAACAACACCATTGCTAAGAATGTGAAGACGTTACTGCGACGTCACAGGGACGTGTTATTCAGCTCAGAGGCTGAGCGGAGGTACGGCAAGACGGATGTAGACCAAGTCTTCAATTCAGCATCACTGTTTGATCTGGCCAAGACATTCAGTTGGTAAGGTTGATATTTTACATTAAAAATGTTTTTGTTTGGTTCTTGGTTGTTGTTCCAGCTAAAGTGTTCCTAAGTAAATCCCTTAGTGTCAATAGTTCTCATATAGTACATGAGTGAGTGGGTATGGTTCTACGCCGCTTGTAGCAATATTTAAGCAATATCACAGTGTACCCATGAAGGCAATCAAACCTCTGCCTTTCAATTTTAATACTTGAATTTGAAAGCTCTTGAAGTGTGGAGTAGGCTATAATTGATACACGGAAACGATAGGTTAACCTTCGCATGTGAAAGGAGGAAATATTATTGAATTTACAGTACAATGATAAGTAATATCTAGATTAAGTGAATGAGAAAATTCAAAAAATATGAATATGAATTTTTAAGTTATTGTAAAAAACACAAATTCTTTATTAATATTGTACATTTGTACTATTGTACATTTAAAGACATACGTATATTTCAAGCAAAGTGTGTGTGTGTGGGGGGGGGGGGGGGGGGGGGGGGGGGGGGCACGGGTGGCCCAGTCGTCTAAGGCGCCGCGATTGCCAGAAAACTATGATTGTGGGTTCGAATCCCGGTTTGTCAGCACCCTACTCATGCTCGTTCGTTTCACCGAAGTGGTAAACGTCTGAGACCTGCATCACTTCGGGCTTTCCTCCCACATTTTAGCTGACACGCCGCGATATAACTGGAATACTGTTAAAAGCGGCGTTAAACCCAACTCACTCACTCACTCAAATCAAGTAAAGTTTCCTATTTCATCCTATTCTACAAAAGGAAAAGTTTGAAATAAATCATGATCGTAGATCAATGAAACTAATTGAATTATTTGTCATAAAAGGCAAAGCAGAATATGAAATTGAATTACGAAAACAAAACTCACAAAATCGTTAATGTGGCTGTTTTTCAGTAAGTATATCTTTCCGTTTTTTCTTTCGGCCTAGCTAAAGCATGGGGGAACACATTGATTTAAACTTGTGCAAAAAAACCATTATGGGTTCAAAATAAACAAGAAAACACCGTTATATATTAAACAAATCCCAGTCCCATAAAGCCTTTCGAAGAGAAAGGCACTAGGGTCTCTTTCTGTTATCAGGAACATGATAAAACATGAGATTAATACAAACAAAAGTGCCCTTCTCTGGGAAAAATAATTTATGGCACCAATTTTCGATTAAAGTCTTGACAAGTATCTCTTTATAGATAGACATGCAAACTTGCATTCATGTAGTTATAGATAATGTCACGCGAGTGTCTTTTGATATCAAATATATCAACGAGTGTTGATATATTTGATACCAAAAGACACGAGGGTGAGATTTTATCCATCATCCAACATCATTCTTCCAACTTTTTTAGTTTGTAGACAGTAATTAGCAATGTCTTAAGTGTAAAAAGTACTGCTAACAGTAGCAGAGCCATTAGTGATGTCATTTGATTGTGACGTCATGGTAACCGAAAGGTTATGACAGGCCGTCTGTCAACGTCTGAACGTGGCCGTGACGTCTCATAGACTAGGGTTAGAGTAGCTTCCCTTTGACAAAGGGCAGTTACTCTAGCGGACAGACCGATGGATTGCCGCGAAAGGCAAGTAAAAACAATTGTTGTTTTGCGTATATGTTGCTTCGCCACTGTATAAGAAACTGATTTCAGTTGGAACTATATTGGCTACTGTCACTTTCCGACTGACACATCACTTACCCTTTGACGTAATAAATATTAATGCGCGCATTCCAAGAAAACTCGCAATGTTTCGGTTATGTTTGTGAGAGAGGGAAAGCGATTTTCAAGCACAGAATTAAATAGGCTCGCTAAATACAATGTATATTTCTAATGCAGGATACTTACCATCCCCAAACACACTCGCGTGATAACCTCTATGTCCCCATTTTCACGCAGTATGCGTTCAGTTTAAAAAATAATTCATATGAGATCGTGACTAGTAACATCAGTGTGAGAAATTTCATTTCTCTAACTCAAATAGTTTTAGAGAAAATTTGTCCCCAATGAGGAGCGGACGAACGGACGAAGGAACGAACTCCATTACTATATCCCCCGCCCCACATTATTAAATATTACTAAAATAAAGTATCTAAGTCACGTGGCATTGATCGAAGTATTTGATAATTTAGATAAGGCAGGGTAAAACAAAATATAATGAAAACTATTTAAAACATCAAACCGAAATCACATTTACGATGAAAATATTTTGTCATTCAGAAATCGATAATCTATTAATTTTGTGTAATTACCGTAACTGAACAGGCCTTGAACCATTCGAGATTCTAATGTGTATGGCTAAAATATTAAAAAGGCTGTTTAATCTCGGGTCTGTTTTGAAAGCTTCCTCACCGTAAAAAGCTCCATTCACTTACTCAACTATCACGCCTTTAAACAAATATGAAAAGCACATGTCAACCTACCAAAATTAGAAAACTGCTTGAATTTCAAATGGTGTTAGCCAAGCGATAAACGGTCTCATTTACTCGTCGGTCGCCGTGGAAAGCTTCCCAATCGTGATGTAGGCTACTAGATCTACGTTCTAGTTCTGTCACAGAGAATATTATTATTTAGAAACTAAAAACCAGGGGTTTCCATAAAACGACAACAACGTCAGATCAGCTGTTTGACGTGACGTCATCCACAAGGTCATACCACGCGCACCTGTCCAGACGACAAATTCACAGCGGCGGGAAATCACCGACCGTCGGTTAGCCTACACACAAAAAATTGCACATTGTAACGTCATTGAATGAAAGAACGTATCAAATAAAAGTTAAATACTTGCGATAGATTATCATACGATAATCGAGAGCACACTTGACATCAATAAATATTAGATCTCATATCCATTGCAGAATGTTGGAAATACGAAACCTATCGCGATATGATAATACATTCCATTTTCTGAGGATATTTATAATGTGTATTTGGTAATATATGACCATACATAATTAGTTATCACTTACAGACTGTATCGTGTACAATCACAGCATGTTACATGTACACTAGACACACGGCAACCAATCATAGCGCCATTATCAGTTTCAATGGAAGGAAAAACAAATCGAAATTGAACTATGCAGCACATCGTATCCATAAGCGGTTAACCCAAATGCAAAAAGGTATTGCTGTCATCATTTTAGAAGTTATGTTGATGTTTTCAGTAGTTGTATTATGTTTGTATCGTGTGTATCTTCGACAGAAACTGGGCCTGCGTACCACATGTGAAACCGACCTTGACACAATTTGTTAACAACAATACCATCAACTCACGTTTAGATGTCGTGGCCACTCTTTTGAAATCTCCTCTTATGACAAAATGCGAAACGGTTAGGGTAATTCATTCACGCGGTCAGGTAGTTCGACCAATCACACGTGACTCTTAGTCATTTCATATTTAAAAAAAACAGAAGTTATTTGTCAAAACGGGCGAGCATGTCGGACAGCTGGAAGACAAGAACTCGCGGACGTGCCCAGTCGATCACTGCGGGCTTGGCCATTCAATGTTTATGTGTTTATCCTGCCTATAAATTATATACTATACAACCTTAATATTAACGATCACCGCTATTTTTACATTTCTTAGATTTTGTATGTTTTCTGCCAATCAGCATCATAAACAGAACGACGATCTGCACAGTCGTTTCGTCTCTAGCGCCGTGCGAAATCGCAATATTTCATATTTCGCAATCCGTAGCTCTGTATCAAATATAAGTAACACGATGTTAAAGCTGAGATTATATGGGCTGATGATGGTTATAATTTTGATTTTGCGCACTCGGTGTTTGACATCATTAATTCACAGTTGAAAAGGAACATTTTCACGGGACCACATATGGTTCCTTGGCATCAAGAGGGTTAAATTATTTTTTTTTAAACTTTTTTTTCTTGAAAACATGCAAGGGGCGATGAAATATATACAACGTGTCGTGTTCCTTCCATATGTTGCAGCAGACGTGCAGGGTTTGAGGACCCGGATGAGTACTACACATGGGGAAGCAGCGCCACCTATCTGGATAATGTGAGTTGGTAATTATGGTAACCTTGCAGTCTCAGTTGATGAATAAGTTAACTGCTGGGCAAAAGAAAGTATGCATCCATGGTTCAGATAGATAGATAGATAGATAGATAGGAACCACAATTTGTCGAATGACGTCAACAATATTCAGCTATGACGTCGTTTGTAGTGTGACGTCATTCCGCCCCCAGGTCACATAAGATTCGAATGACGGAAACAATACACGGTTGTCACGTGACGTGATATGACCCAAGGGCAAATATGATTTTATGAACCCCGATATAAATTTCCCTCGTAGGTAAAAAAATTTACTCAACCGGTTCCACGAATGCGATTTTCAAGATTTATACCGTTACGCTATTTTGACGTCACAGTGCACTCAAACATAGTATGACGTTATAGTGCATTCTAACATATTGTGATGTCAATAAGACGCATAACATTGTGTGGGGCAGGCGTACGACACATATTATACACAGAAATAAGAATTGTAGTGGCAGGAAAATTCACACTAATTGTATGAAATAATTCAATTATTTGAGGCCATTTAATGTTGGTTTGAAAGTATTAATAAAATACCTTTCTTTTATCTTTCTCAGTGCATCATTTTCACATTTATAAAACGGGAATATCACAAAATGTGGTGGTTTATTCCACTGTGCATTGATCAATGTGTTGACTGAATGGGATACATCGGCAAGAGGGGTCCCGTATTTGTTGTCGGTGGACTCTCACTCTCGCTCTTAGGGTGTCCCCTGTCTGTCCAATGTATTCGGCTTTACATCCAGCACATTGTATGACATATATCAAGTTTTTAGAAGCACAATTCATATTTTCACTGACATAGACAGTTTTTTCCGTCTTCGAATGTAAAAGAACAACATTGTAAAAACATGAGGGCAAGTACCACAGTCAGTTCTGATACACTTGTGTACTGTTTTACATTCTTGTTTTCCTTTTGAGAAAGAAGCTGTTTAAGATTGGCTGTTTTTTTCACTTTAAAGAAGTCTATTTAGTGACATGTTTTGTTTTAGTTCTTTACACTTATTTAAAGAAAACAATGTTTCCCGAACATTTCCAAATATTTCCGGGTTTGGGGGATTAAAGGTTGTAACAAAAGGGAGAACACTCTCGTTAGGTTTATCTTTAGGTTTTGTGATTTGGCCTTGTTTATTGCGTCTTCTACTATTTTTCTAGGGTAGTTTACTTCTGATAGTGACTCCCTCAGTTCATCGAGTCTATATTGTGCACGATCTGAATTAGATACTACCGCGCAGATTCTACGTGCTAATGGGTAAGGGGCACTGTTTCTTGTAAGATTGGGTGACAGGGATTGTAATTGAGGTATTGTTTGGAATCGGTTGGTTTGTAATATACATCTGTTGTATATACATATGTGTTTATAGATAGATACAAGATAGATAGATAGATAAATAGATAGATAGATAGATAGATACTGAATGGGGCATAGCTTGCTAAAAGGGTTGAGCTCCGATTTTTATATATTACCACATGGTGCCATTAAATTTGTATTATGCATTAATATTCTGACGAAATGACACACGGGTATGAAATACAGAAATTAACGAATAGCACGTTTTGTTATCCATGGCAACGCAATTGCCTCCTCGGCTTCTTCGCATCCTTTGAAGTAGCCCCGTGGCGCGACCACCTGGAGGACTAACAGTGTTCTTGCACCAACGTTTCTTCAGCTCATATATATTCAACATTGATCAATGCCTTGTGTCGATATTTGAAAATCGGTATAAAAATGAAGGGGTGGTGCGTTACATTTCTCGAGCTGTATATAACTCATGTACATTGATTCAATTTCACGTTGTAATTTTCAGATTACAATACCCATGTTGTTTCTAAATACCCTTGATGATCCAGTCGTGTCGCCGTCTGTACACGGTATAGCGAGGAAGTTTGCAGGTGAATCAAGAGCACGCATGAGCACAGGCCACTTTTTTATCCTTTAATACCGAGCGCCAGGCAGGGTAACAACAAGTACCATCTTTAACGTCTTTTGGTATGAATCGGACTATTGACCTACCCTCTCCGGGCCACACGACCACGGAGGCAGTCGTCAGAGAAGGAGTGTGTGGGTAGAATGTGAATTAACCTTTTTTTTTACATACATGGGGTCTGGCTTTGGCCTTTCTCTCATATTAAGGGGCGGTGGTGTAGCCGTGTGGTTAAAGCGATCGCTCGTCACGTCAAACGCCCCAGTTCGCTTCCCAACTGGGTACAATGTGGAAAGCCCATCTCTGGTGTTGCTAAGAACGACATAAAACGAAACTGATTCCCTCACTTCTCTCACGTTAAGCTTACATGATGTGGGCATTTAAGTCAACTCATTCACTGCCGGGGGGCACGGGTGGCCCAGTCGTCTAAGGCGCCGCGATTCGCTGTGCAGAGTTGCGTCCCTTGAGCACGCCAGAAACCTATGATCGTGGGTTCGAATCCCGGTTCGCCCCGATTGTGTTTCTAGATATGTCAGCACTATACTCGTGCTCGTTGGTTTCACCGAAGTGGTAAACGTCTGAGACCTGCATCACTTCGTGCTTTCCTCCCACATTAAGCTGACACGCCGCGATATAACTGGAATACTGTTAAAAGCGGCGTTAAACCCAACTCACTCACTCACTCACTCACTCACTGCATATTCGTGTCATGTATACATCGTGCATAACCGGGGTGGTTTGGTAGCCGGGAGCTCAAAGCGTTCTCTCGTCTCGTCGAAGGTGAAATGAGATGGATGGGGTTAAAGTCTTTGGAAGAGTGCACTGTTTTCTGGATTTAGTTTTCAAACATCACGCCGAAGGTAGGGTGAAGTGAAATGGGGTTTAACGTCGCGTTCAATCGACCCGGGTTCGATTCTCCATATTGGTACAATCTGTGAAGCCCATTTCTGGTGTACTCCGCCGCCAGTGATATAGTTGAAATATTGCTAAAAGCGGCGTTAAACGATACTGACTCACCCGTGCATAAACCAACCAACCAACCAACAAACAAACAAACCATCTGTTCAAAGAAAATTCTTCTTGGATATGCTCGCTTAATCTTTTCCGTGACATTTGCATTCGTATGAGGTATTTGATACAAATATTTTATATTTTCTTTCATTAATATTGTGAAAATATCGTCCCAAACACTGAATCTAAACTTTTTATAGAATTTAGTTTTTGTGGTTTCAGAAACACATGACAACTGCCTATTTGTGGTAACGCGTCATGGCGGCCATCTTGGATTCTACGAGGGTGGATTTTTTGTTCCAAGTCACGTGACCTGGCTGGAAAGGGCTGCGTTGGAGTACGCCGGTGCTGTTGTCACGCTCATCTCTAGGGAGAGGTAGCGTTGGCTCCAACATGCGTTCCCACATATGTGGTTCAGCGGCCAGACATGCGTCTTATTAAGGTCAATGACCTCCCAGTCATATATCATGTCAGACTTTGGGGGTGGTAATATCTCCCAAAACCACGTGTCTGTGTGGCAGCGTAGACGTACAAGAACCACGGCTCCCTTGTCTTTGTCCGAACTGAACTGTTAACTGGCATTGTTACATTTTTAGTAACTGTTTTCACTTTGAGACGGTATCGTTTTTAGGTTACTACTTCCAAATACTATTTTGTGTGTGAAAGGATGACCTGGCTTTTCTTTTTTCACAAACATTTTTTTCAGGCCATAGAGCCTGTCCAACAAACAATAAATCTGACGACATAGTGTGTTTGTTTTTTATTTGTTTTTATTCAGGACAAATTATTGATAAAAAATTCAAATTTCAAATTTGTTTCGTGGAATTCCCATTGATGATTTTGTTAACGTGGAATCAACCACCCACTTGAGAATGTTCCTCTTGTGTTCTCACAGTGGCTGTTTTTTTGTTTAACGTCATACCCAGCAATATTCCACCTTTATGACAGCGTCCGGTAAATTCCCCACGGAATTGCGTATGATACAACGTATCCATGCTTGCGTAAGATCCATGCTTTCCGTAAAAGGCGACTATGCTTGTCGTAAGAGGCGACTAACAGGATCGGATGGTCAGACTCACTGACTTGGTTGATGTATGTCATCGTATCCCAAAAGCGTGGATCGATGCTCATGACATCAATGACTGGATTGTCTGGTCCAGACTCGATTATTTACATTTACGTCGTCATATAGCTGTAATATTGCTGAGTGCGGCGTTAAACAACAAACAAACAAACAAAGAAAGCGTATGGTACGTATTTGGTTTGATACGCTCGTCTTGGAAGGTTTTCTGGGTACTGTGCAAATATCAGAGAAGTAATCGTAATATTGCCCCGAGCGTTCACTGTCACACATTTACTGGTTCAACGGGTGTTCAACTTTGTCAAGAAGACCGTTACTATACAGCAGATCTTTCAATTTGAGACAGGTTATTATGTTTTGTGGGGCGTCGGGTAGCCTAGTGGTTAAAGCTCGTCACGCCGAAGACCCGAGTTCAATTCCCGACATGGGTACAATGTGTGAAGCCCATTTCTGGTGTCCCCCGCCGTGATATTGCTTGAATATTGCTAAAAGCGGCGTAAAACCAAACTCACTCATGCACTATTATGTTTTGTGTATATGAATATTGGCCTGCACATTTTTGGTCAACTTCGTTGAGCTTGATGGTTCGGTAAGGTATATCACTGCCACAATGCTTGCTTTAATACACTTGTTTCTGTACTTCTATGTTTACATAAATATTGATACCAACAAGCAACTATCCAAGTATGACGTGTGATACATGATTTATCAGCCCCGTGAAGATCCGGGGTAGGATAGGTTTTAAGTAACCTATGCTTGCCGTAAAAGGCGACGGTGCTTGTTGTCAGAGGCGACTAACGGGATCGGGTGGTCAGACTCGCTGACATGGTTGATGCATGTAATCGTATCCCAAAAGCGTGGACCGATGCTCATGACATCAATCACTGGTCACTGCCAGCTTAATGTGGGAGGAAAGCAGTTATAATCTACATCATAAAATTATAGAATCTGATATAATATTATATTCATTGTACCATAAACACATTCCTTTGCCGTCACATTGGATACGATGTGTGGAGTTCAATCAGTCCCCGCCGTGATATTGCTGTAACATATAGTTAAAAACGGCGTAAGAACATACCCACTCACTCTCTTGTGGTCAACCTAGTTACCATGGTAAAGTCAACACTGCACCGGAGTGAGTCGATATAACCTGCCGGGCTAAAGAAAGTATTCACTTGAAAAATATATTTGACAAAACAAATTCAAACGTTATCAAAACGTTACGACGTTGGAAAGAATGGCCGAAAAACTGCAGTACAGTAAACTACGGTTATAACGAACTCAAAGGGACCACTTATTTTAGTTCGTTATAACCGTAGTTCGTTATAAGCATAGATACAGCATATATACAACAAATGGCCGGGACTAAAAAATAAGTTCGTTATATCGGTCAGTTCGTTATAAGCGCGTTCGTTATAACCGTAGTTTACTGTAATTTAAAGGTTAGTCGTTAAACCGATTATTGTTTTCTCCGTGTGCCGGTATACTATATATAAATCACTTTAGCTAAATAAGCGTCTATGTCTCATTAATAGTATTTAAACATATGTTTCATTTACCAGTGTTAGTGTGTGTATGGCGAGTGTATGTGCTCCAGTTCTATTTCATTTCATTCATGTGCGCAGAATAAGTCTTCAGCAACCCATGCTTGACGTAAGAGGCGACTAACGCGATCGGGTGGTCAGACTCGCTGACTTGGTTGATGCATGTCATCGATCCCAATTGCGTAGAGCGATGCTCCTAATGTCAATCACTAGATTGTCTGGTCTGGTCGATTATTTACAGACCGCCGTCATATAGCTGGAATATTGCTGAGTGCGGCGTTAAACAACAAACAAACAAACAAATAATTGCATGTGCGTTTGTGTTGGTAAAGGTTAAATTCTAGAATCTGATATATTATGTTCACTGTACCATATTTACATTACAGTTATATACCTTAGCTTAGGATTGTAGAATATTACATCATGAATATCTGTACAGTGTAGTACGTGTAGTTGATTCTTATTTAATCTGCTTGGGTTTGTTTTGTCATTCTGTGATAGAAGTGTATGTGTTTTATTGCATTCATTGTTACAGGGTGTCGTAATAAATGGACCTCTCACCCTGGTCTGTGTCATGTTTAACTACATCCACCCGTGAAGATCCAGGAAGAGAATGGGTCTTCAGCAACTCATGCTTGTATCGCATGTGGTATACAGTATATATCTCTTGACATACTGTATACTGCATGTGATGTGACCTGGTCAGGCGTGCACGAGGGGTTTGCTTGAGGGAGAGGGGGGAATGTGCGCTACTGCCCAGCGCACACTGCTCGCGGTACATTGTATATTACCGCATGTGGTATACTGTATATATCTCTTGACATACTGTATACTGCATGTGATACTTGCCATAAAAGGCTATGCTTGTCGTAAGAAGCGACTAACGGGATCGGGTGGTCAGGGTCGCTGACTTGGTTGATGCGTGTCATCGATCCCAGTTGTGTGGATCAATGATCATGATATCCATCACTGGATTGTCTGGTCCAGACTCGATTATTTACAGACCGCCGTCATATAGCTGGAATACTGCAGAGTGCGGAGTTAAACAACAAACAAAACTGTCGTATATTTGTTGGTTTGTCAGAGCAATCAGACAGTCCCATCCGATTATGATGAGAATAGGTCTTCAGCAACCCATGCTTGATGAAAGATGCGACTATGCTTGTCGTAGGAGGCGTCTAAAGCTGACTTGGTTGATGCATGTCATCGTATCCCGTGCTTGGATCGATGCTCATGTCAATCACTGGACCGTCTGGTCAAGACTCGATTGTTAACAGACCGCTGTCATTTAGTTGGAATATTGCTAAGTGCGGCGTTAAACAACAAACAAACACATATCCGCACACATTTCGGGACATCGCATTTATCTCCTAGCCCATTCTCCAGTAAGAAATTGACATGTTGAAGTAGTAAGACTTCATATTGAACAGTTTGGTTCATGACTTGCAACACTGCGTTGATGCCTACATGTCGCATAGCAAATTATTTACATATTTATTTATTACATACATTGGTATACATATACATACATATACATTACATACATACATATGTAGATTTACATTTTCGCAAGAGTTTATTCATTTTGGGCCCATTTAGGATCGGCATTATTCATGAAATTATCATACTTGTTAGAAGTCGTTATGACATTTACCAGACGTGTTCTAGAGTATGTTTATTTCAACACATGTACATTTTGGACTTATAACAGCGCTAAGGCTAAATGCGTCGGGAAAACTGATTACCGTATTCGACGTAATAAGCGCCCCGCTCTAATAAGCGCCCACAGCGAGATTTGCTGATATATTGGCTAGTGAACAATCCCAATTATCACCCCTTCCGATCCCGTATAATACGCACTCCTGTGTTATATGCACCCTTTATTATTGGCAATTAAATTCTGGAAAAATATATCTGTCGTACATAAACATTTCAGGCTGCCAGCATAAACCGCGAAATTTATCTTTCAACTCTGTTTTTTTTCAACCAAAATGATATTCTAATAAGAGCCCCCAATTTCTAGTTTGGAGAGCCCCCTGGGCGCTTATTACTTCAAATGCGGTAATACAAGTTATCGATTTCATATGGGACTCATATTGGACTTTAGACTCACTAAATTACACATATAAAATAATGGTATCAGTCTTTCGATTCAAATGACACGTTCCTAACCGTTAATCATGCCAGTACCACAAAGATAGGCTAGCTACACACTCATTTTGTTTACACACACATTGGAATGCGTAGTGGGATCAAAGGTCGCAATTTCATTCAAGGGAGACAAGCCCAAGTTTGTTTGGAAAATTGCTTCATCTGTGAATCACGTGACACACTGTTTCAGAGCAGCCTGCGCAGCCGATGATCTCATGCTGTATGGCTAATGCTAATCAGTTAGACCTAACAGTGATCGTCGACAGCCAACTCAGCGGTAATAGCATAACCCGGCTGATGTCCATATTGCACGGACTTCTGTATGGTCGCAGCTAGTCAAGCCGAAACCGTTAGGAGTTTATCTCGTGCAGAAGTGGAGTTTCTCGTGGAGAGCATCTTGCATACACTATCGGTTTGACACTGACAGCGATCGCCATGACGGAGTGGTTCTTGGGACTGGCGTTTTTGTTGGGAATCTTCAAGATTTTGAACATGTCAAGCCTGGCAGTGGCGCCTGACATCTATATCAAAGATCGGTCGTCTGCTTTTGTGAAGAGCATCCTCGCTGCTTGCCCCATCTTCCTTGAACCGTAAGTTCAATTTTCGCGCACCTGCCTTGATTGACAGGTATACATTTCACATGGTTGATCTGCATTGTGCGGTGGTTCCGTGACTGATACTGTGTTTGGAAAATTGTTGTTTTGCGAGCTGGGAGCATGCAGATGTTTGGCACAATGCAGGTAGGGTCGGCTACCGCCTACTTTTGCGTTTCCGGGTTCAACCAAAGTGCACCTGCACGCAAATCTGGAGCGTTTCGGTGTGGCCAGTAAAATAATACGAAGCTGGGCTCTGCTCTGCTATTTCAGTTTCAATTGAAGGTGCACACTGATCATCCAGACCCTTATTAAAGCGAGTCCCAGCTCACGTAATTATCATATAGACGGAAATTATGAAATTAATTTAACACGAGCAGACATGCGATCGTAAGCGTAATGACGGACCGACTTTCATAGTGAGGCAGCTATGGCCACGCTTTTTTAAATTTATGTTTGACGGATTTATTCCAGGTTTTCCACACCTTGGTCGAAATAAAAACTAATGTCAATTATTTATTTATTTATTTAATATGAAAGCCATTCTGCCGTGAAGTTAATACTGCAGGTGACCCGTGAAGATGTGTGGTGAATAGGTCTTCAGCAACCCATGCTTGCCATAAAAGGCGACTATGCTTGTAGAAAGAGGCGACTAATGGGATCGGGTGGTCAGGCTCACTGACTTGGTTGAAGCATGTCATTGTATCTCAGTTGTGTAGATCGATGCTCATTATGTCAGTCATCAGATTGTCTGGTCCAGACTTGATTTTTAACAGACTACTGTCATATAGCTGGAATATTGCTGAGTGCGGCGTTTAACAACAAACAAACATACATTATACTGCAGGTTGTCTCTTTAATCACTGATAGTAGACATAGAATTTATGTAAAGTTAAGACATATTATGTTGTATAAGATGGTCTGTATTTCTAGTGGGAGAGATAATAAAATAGGTATTTGTATGTTTAATTTATTTTTTAGACTGGCTGCTTTTCAGTTAGGGCGATGGCCCATGAAATGAAAAATAAGAAATATATGGCCTAATAATGATCTCGATCATATGTGAATATCAATCAGTGGTTGAAGAAATTTGTCCCAAACCATCACAACCATTTCTTGTATTTGTACATTGAACAAAGGCCTGTTGAAGGGCAGGGTTCATATGAAATACTAACCTAGGTTCTAGTTCTAGCTGAGGGTTCATGTTTTTGCAATTGTGGCACACCGAACATTAGGGGTGACTATTTGTCTGGAAATCACTGTTGCAATAACTATTGATATTGAAAGAAACTATTGTGCTAACTATTGATATTGCAAGCAGAGACCATATAATGGACTATAATAGTCTATTATATGGTCTCTGTTGCTAGCAACTGTTACGATAAGTATCGATAGTTTTCAATGCATCATTTTAGATAGATTTTAGAGTTGAATTAAAACTTGGAACTGAAGTTTCCTTTGAATGTGATAAGTATAACAAATAAAAAGTTAAGTTTGAGATATGACTGATTTGTTTTTTCTTTACCCAAATGATTTAAGAAAAAGAAACTTCCACATTACCATGTGCAAATTACTACCACTCATGATCACAAGAAAAACTAATTTGAACAGCATTGCATATATTTGATTGATATGGTTAATACAATCATAACTATCGATATTCCTAACTGAAATCGATACTATTGATCGGAAACTGATTTAACAATCGATTTATTGACTTTAAGTGCTTACCAATAGCAATATATTGATATTTCGATTTATCGTGACACCCCTACCGAACATAATGAGTGACTTACAGCTGTCAAATTGTGTCGTTGCTCGTACAATGTTCCATGTGAAGGAGTTGATATACCGTATTCGACGTAATAAGCGCCCCGCTCTAATAAGCTAATAAGTGCCGACCGCGATATTTGCTAATATATAAGCTAGTGAACAATCCCAATTAGCACCCCTTCCGATTGATCAATGTACACAAGACGTTTTTATTCGCGTATAATACGCACTCGTGTGTTATATGCACCCTTAATTATGGGTAATTAAATTCTGGAAAAATACATCTGTCGTATATGAACATTTCAGGCTGTCAGCATAAAACGCGAAATTTATCTTTCAACTCTGTTTTTTCACCTAAATAATATTCTAATAAGAGCCCCCTATTTAAATTTTGAGAGCGCCCTGGGCGCTTATTACGTCGATTACGGTACTTGACAGACAGGCTTGGCAGCTAGCCAGAATAGATATGATAGAAAACAGCATTTCCAAGAGGCGAAGGTTTTTCCTTTCAAATACCATCCTCATTTATCAAGGGTATTATCAATGTGACCATTTTGAAAACGACCCCGGGCCAAATTGCGATTGTTGCTTTGTTTCGAAAGTAATGTCACCATCTCCATCGTACTGGGCACTTATTACTCTAACTCATGAAAGTGACGTGATTGGACAGCTATTTATGGCGTTGTAATATCTGACGTATTAGTGAGTGAGTGAGTGTGGTGTTATGCCGCTTTCAGCAATATTCCAGCAATATCACGGCGGGGGACACCAGAAATGGGCTTCACACATTGTACCCATGTCAGGAATCAAACCCTGGTCTTCGGCGTGACGAGGGAATGCTTTAACCACAAGGCTACCAGACCGTCCCCTGAAGTGGAAATGAGATGCAAGGATGGGTGATATCTGTCCATCCGCCACATTCTGTTTCTGGGGCAAAACTTGGAAACCTGTGCTTGTTAGGGCTGGGACGGGTAACTCGGGTACCCGGGTCGGGTGGGTACTGAGTAGGACCCGGGTACCCACATGACTACCCGGACCCGTGGTTAGTCACGTGATATATTGTTTAATGACCAAAATAATCTAGATCTCTATGGTTGCACTACAAGTCACTAATGTTCGCATTTCTTTCTGACTATGCACCCATTCTTTCTGATTTTTCATATGGTTGAATAAAGATATAACTTAATTCAACTTCAGTGTATGAATGACCAGATTGTTTAATACGTGTATCTTAATACGTTTTGCTAGGGCTATGCTAAAAATGTTCCCATTCGCACATTTTGAGACATCTCCTGAGACCTACAGTGGGTGCGCGGGTAGGGTCGGGTAATAGTGGGGTGGGTACCCGTGTAGTGCTTGTCATAGTTTTAGAAGATACTCCCAATGTACTTTTTTTTCATGCCCCTCCCTGAAAAGACAAAATACAAAAGCAGCGATACAAACTAACACTTTTGATCCACTAGCCCACATTATATATGACTATAAGGGTATCGACTATTTTTCCTCCGACGAATGAGGGCTGTTGAAAAGACAGGGCTTCTGCAAATGATAATGCCCTGAAAAATAGCGTTACTGTTATTATAGCTATAATAGATAGAATTTGTTATCAAAGAGAAACAAACAACAATATCAGTTTTAAACATTTACTGCAATCAATACACAATGAATGCCACTGACCCACTTTTACAAATATGAAAAGGTCATGGAACAAACCAGATGACATCACCTATCCCTATCTTATGACATCACTTAACAACGGGCGTGATAATGGCCCGTCGTCAAGCAATATGAGGGCTATGTCAAGCTACAGTGGCCCGCTTATATCTGATAATATGCAGGTGGTTTAATGATAATTATATCCATTTTAGCTATTTCAGCTATAATCATGATAATGTAGCACAACCCTTAAAAAAGGCAAATTTCTACAAGTCGATACTTTAACCATTGGGCAGTTTGTCAAGGATTATAGGACCAGTGCCAATTTCCATCACTGGAAAGCACTTTATCAAATATAATGCAATGCCTATTTCTTCATGACTCTTTAAAATATGTGTATTTTTTGTATGACACGCCTTAATGTCTAAGATACCCATCAGCACTTGTGTATTACCGTATTCGATGTTATAAGCGCCCAGGGCGCTCTCAAAATTAGACATAGGGGGCTCTTATTAGAATATTATTTTGGTGGAAAAAAAACAGAGCTGAAAGCATAAATTTCGTGGCTTATGCTGACAGCCTGAAATGTTGACATACAACAGATATATTTTTCCGGAAATTAATTGCCCATAATTAAGGGTGCATATAACACACAAGTGCGTATTATACACAAATAAATGTCTTGTCTTGTGTACATTGATCAATCGGAAGGGGTGCTGATTGGGATTGTTCACTAGCCAATATATTAGCAAATATCGCCGTGGGCGCTTATTAGAGCGGGGCGCTTATTACGTCGAATACGGTATGTGAATTTTGTTTTTTAAAAGCTTTATTGCAATTTCTTTTTATAAAACCATATAGAAGTATTCTTTTGAGTGCTCACCAAGCACCAGTTCATTTCATTTTTTGGATGCTGGTATAATATCACTGACTTAAAATATTTTCAATTCAAAATGAAACAATATCAACCGAGACGTATAGTTTCTTTTGCTCTGCAGTGTAGGAAGCAGTGACTTAGGATTTCACATAGTCTGTAATCCAATGGGTGAGTGAGTGAGTTGGGTTTAACGCCGCTTTTAACAGTATTCCAGTTATATCACGGCATGTCAGCTTAATGTGGGAGGAAAGCCCAAGTGATGCAGGTATGAGACGTTTACCACTTCGGTGAAACCCACGAGCACGGGTATGGTGCTGACAAACCTAGAAAGATAATTGGGGCAAACCAGGATTTGACTTGGTTGATGCATGTCATCGTATCCCAAAAGCGTGGATCGATGCTCATGACATCAATGACTGGATTGTCTGGTCCAGACTCGATTATTTACAGACTGCTGTCATATAGCAGCAATATTGCTGAGTGCGGAGTTAAACGACAAGCAAACAAACGATGACATGCATCAACCAAGTCAGCGAGCCTGGCCACCGGATCCCGGCCACCTGATCCCGTTAGTCGCTTCTTACAACAAGCTGAGCAGAGAAGTATATGTTACAAATATCAGGTTAATATGAATCATCGTCACCAGTATCAGATAAGGTCTTGCCAGGGACTTGATTCAACAACTGCCTGA